AATTGACATTAAAAATAAGTTTTTTTTAAGGATTCCCCCTTGAATTTAGCATTTATATGTCCCGCCATGAATATAGCCGGGGCATATACATGTGTCTTTCACTAATTAACAATTTACAATTGCCAATGAGAACATGACTAATTTAATAAGTCATGTACTCATTGGCAATTGTAAATTGTTAATTAGTGAAAGACACATGTAATGTTTGTCATATCAGTCTTCCACCCGTCCAACTGTTTTTCTGTCACTCTTTGCGTTTGTCAGTTTAAAAGAAACTATTTGAAAGATTTTTTTTTATCAAACTTCATATTCTGATACATATTGATGACGGCTGTTCAAATGCTTCAAGATTTTTTACCTTGACCTCACTTTTTAAGCTCAGTTTCAAAGAAACTATTGAAAATATTTTAGACAAACCTAATACGCTGATACATGTAGATAGATTGTTAGCTATTTATCTTCATCAACTTTTTTGACCTTGGCCGTTCTTTTGTCCTTGACTTCGAGTTTTATAAAATTTCAAAGAAACTATTCAAGATATTTTTTTTTATCAAATTTCATATGTTTATACATATTGATGAGAGATATTCAATTGCAACATTTTTTAACCTTGACCTTTCCTATTACCTCGCCTCACTTTTCTCAAATTTGTGTTTAGCTAAGTTTCAAAGAACAAATCGTAATATTTTTATCAAACTTCATATGCTAATACCTATTAAGGAGAGCTATTCACTTTCAGTAAAGTTTTTTAACCCTGATTTTTTCCTTTGACATTGATCTACTTTTTCTCAAATGTGTGTTTAGCTCAGTTGCAAAGAGACTGTTCAAGATATTTTTTTATGTAACGTTATGCACTGATACATTATTTGGTTAAAGAACTGCGAACGATAGTATTGTTCTCCCGCCTACCTCCAAGACAATTTTCAAAATTTAACACATTTGAATGATTTTTCATATGTATATAGATATTTATATAAATTTTCATAAAACATTACTTCTTTGGGAAAACAAAGAGAGATAACTCTATAACTTTGGTAAAACTTACAAGTGTTTTTCACTATAGAAATCAACGGAAAACGGAAAATATTTTTAAAACATCTCTCTCTCTCTTTCTCTCTCTCTCTCCCCCCCCCCCCGTGAAACAAAAATTCCTATTTACAGGTAATATGGACTGTCATTTCACAAATTCATACTAAAGCTTTTTGTGTTTCACGGGGGGGGGGGGGGACATATGTTTACAGACAAAAAACTACAAAAATGCTTATTTTTTCACAATTTCAAAGGGGTTTACAACTAAAACATTGTATTTTATTAATAATATATGTTTAATTTTATATGAGTAAAACATAAGAAAAGATTTAAGGAACATTTATTCATATCCAAGAATAAAATGTGGTGATGCTTTAAAGCCCGATTTCAATGAAAAATATCGTCTACCCCCTTATTTAAAGAGCTGGAATTAGGGGTAATTAACTGTTTAACACTGGAATCAAAATTATCAGTCAATTATAATTGAACTGTTCTTTGCATTCAAAAAAAAAATTACGGCCAAATTGCCATTAGTATTGAATTAAATGGGTGTAAAATATAGGCGGGAATCGAGAGTTAGCGTGCGTAGTTCTTTATTAACTGTGTCCATTTTTTTTAACCTTGACCTTCCCAATGACCTTTGACTTTACTATTTATTGGTATCAAGGTTTAAAGAAGCTATTCAAGGTATTTCATAAAACTTCAAACACTCATACAAATTTATTGTTGCATTACTAATGAACCCTGGGCAGGGCATATCCTATTGACTTATTTCTAGTTTTAAAGAATTTTAGAAAAACTACAAAAATCAGGAATTTTTAAAGGAATTTTAGGGCCACTGGACAGCTTGCTAAACATTTCTGAATTAAATGCAATATTTACGACAACTTGTTTTATGTTTTAACTTTCCAATGATCACTTAAAATACATGTCTTTTTAAGTTCCATCGTCGCAAGCCACAGAATTTTTGTCTCAGGCCCGTAGAAAGCGGGGGGGGGGGGGGGCACCTTTTTCTGAGTAAAGTATTTTGCTATAGTGAATTTTCCTTTAGATGCTGGTTTACCCTACTTTTTGATGGAGTAAGGTCGAGCACTGGCAAATTCCAGGATTTGGACAGTAAATAAGCCTTTTTTGGCTTGTCAGATAATTTTGGAAAGTTGCCCCCCCCCTTTGGTGAGTTTTTTTGGGGAGGAGTGGGTGGAAGGTGCCCCCCCCCCCATTTTTGAAACCATTGCTACGGGCCTGGTCTATTTTATTTCCACAAACCCGGTTGTGGAAATAGAATGGACGCAAAACCCGTGGCTTGCGACGATGTTTAAGTTCATACAGCTAAGTTTAAATTTGCACAAAAGCCCATTCTTTCCCCGTTCAACTCCAAAGATCGCACACGTCCTTCAATTCGCATTTTCAAGTATCGCCCATTCTCCCTTATTTATCGAGGGGAACCAAAATCTTTGTAAACTATCCAATGATATCATATTGGCAATGCCTTGATACTTTTTGGACCAAATGAGAGAAAAATGAAATATATAAAACGCAATTCGTCTTCTCGGGAAATAATGAAGAAAAATTGCTTTTATGTTAGGTTATTTTTCGGATTGGACCAAATATCACAAAGTGAAATGTAACAATGATTACATTTTGCTTTATATATTTGTGTACTTTCCCGAGTAAATTGTATTCTTCCCAAAATTGATTGAATATACGCCAGTTACTGAAACATGTTCATGTAAAAATCCAACTATGAAATTAGTATCCATAATATGCGTATGTCTTCTTTTTTGGGGAGGGGGGGGGTGCGGGTCTTCCTTTTAACTTACTCGTACCCGTTGAGCCTGCATGGAATCACAGTTGGTTAATTTGCTTGCTAGAAATAAGGGTCAAACCACTTCACTGTATGGCAAAAATCTTGAAAATCTGACTGCTAGGGAAGTGAAGCAAAACACCTTTGCAATCATCTGAGAAATGTTTATCCAGTAAAGCAGCTACCACTGACAGACATGCATTGGACAGAAGTTCTATAAATAATTTAAGCACAATCTAGATCCAGTATCACAGTCATTTACTATTTATGTTACTGTTTTATTCCATCCATTCCTCTGATTGCATACGATTGTGCCATGTGTAGTGATCAAACACCTGTAAGAAATCCGGGTCGTATAGATTACCAAGGAACACTGGGGTTCTAAAAATTTTTTCCCATGCACACAATTTCAGATATCATACATAATTTTAGATATAATTTTTCGGTCTTTGTAAAATTCTTTTATTGGTTGTTATTTAGCCAAGACAAGTATACATGTAGTAGAAAATATATTTCAGATCCTATATAGACGTGGTCGGCATCCAAACATTATGTTTAATAAGAAAATACAATCTAAAAATATTAAAAATTTTAATAAATAATATCTAAATGAGTAGATAATGTACATTATTTCCTTCCAGAAAGAAGTTAACTACAAGATCCTTTGCCGAACGCCAATTCCATCTATAATTATATATTGCCCTCCGAGGAATAGATACATAACTTCTACTGTACAGTAAAACGTCATATTGTTTTATCACAGTCTTTAAGGGGATTCCCATTAGGAATGATGATGTGTCCAGACATGCTGTTTTAAACGTGTCTCATGCAACAAATGGTGAAAATCTCTCATAATTTCCATGCATTTACCATCATAAGGTGAAAGTAAGCGTCGTTGTCTACTGATGCACTAACTCCAGAATAATAATTAATAAATTCTTCTTCAGTCACCTGTATTAATCAAATAAAAAAAGAACAAAAAAATAATCAGTGACAAAAACGGCATAAACAAAAAACGCGAAATTGCTTCAAAAATATTGGAGAAATTACTGAATGACTGATTTTGTTTTGTTCATTTTATATAAGTAATAAATTTTAAATTAAATTAAATTCAAATTAATGTGTGAAAAGGTACATCACCTTCCTCTCTGAATTTTAATCAAAACTTCATTTCCATTGGATAGTATTATAAAATTTTAACAACCTTTTATTCAATCTTGAAGAACATTCATCTTTTGTGCCACACAAACAAATTTTTTTAATTTAAATCCTATTACAGTCCATTTAAAAATATTCATACATTTAAATAGCTGAATTTATGTATGATAATATATTCATTTATGCAGGAATATTTTGGGGCCTGTATAGTTTCCATTAAAAAAAGATGATTTTTTGTATTTTTTCCAAGTTGCTTTAATAGATAAGCAAATAGATAATGTTGTTGCAAATAAAGTAAATTGAAGTTGATTGCAAAAAAATACCATATACAAAGGAGAAATGGGGGAAATGTAATGAAAAAAATTGAGATAAATGTTTGAGGGACGGAGAGCAAGGTAATTAATATTTCTAACAGAATTTCATGCATTTGAAAGCGGTTTCAACCTGAGTATCATATATCTCAGTTCTAACTAAACTTGCATTTCACAATATCTATTCCTTTTTCATGGAATCTTTGATTTTTTTTTATAAATATTGTTTTAATTATATCAAAAATCAAGTTTGCAACATAATCTTCATCATAATCCCTTGTTTCCAATTAAACTGTATGTCCTTTGGCCTTTGCTGCAATGTTAAAAAAAAATTGCTAATCGAAAAACAAAATGCTCACACACCACTAAACTCAATCAATGAAAAGCAAACTAAAAAGCTGAATCCACTCCTTTTTTGATGTCACATTCACTATGTTAATTAAATTATTATAGTTATAAGATTTTTAATTATTAAAAAATCCTTGCAATTATTGTTTAAAACAAACAAATTAGTTTTGTAGCTATAAATTTTAATCTTCATCATGAATCTGATGGTTATAAGAATTGACAAAATTTCTATGAAGAGTAAGGGTATAAAAACTTCAAAGTAAAACTTGTGTTAAAAATGATAAATTTACAGATCCATAAAACATTATGTAAATGTTAAAATTAACAATAAATGATTGAAGGTTGAAAACCTAATGGGATATACAAAACAAATACATAAATATAAAATTTGTTTTTAAGTATTTCTTTAAAAAGCTGTTCCTGTACAAACAATTATACTTCTCATTAACAATACATGTACCAAAATGATTTTCAATTTCAACAAACTCTGTGATAAGCAAGACATAAAATTAAATAAACTAATAAAAACATCAACAGATAAACAAAGAACAAACAGAAAAGCTAAAGAATCTCAGCTGCTGAGGTGTCTTGTGTGCCATTGTGCTGACATGAATTGTGCTCACACTATTTCGCACCGGTCCACTTCAGTTTAAGGCAGTGCTCCAATAATGCCGAAGAGCCAATGGAAATAGCTGGGTTTTTTGTTCTTCCTTTTTTCCCTATCACAGTGCAGTCTACTCAATTTTCCAGAAAGCAAATCACACACATAGAATTTGAGGGAGGGAGGGAGGTAGGTGTAGAACTAACAAGCAGACATATGTGTAAAAAAGCATTTTTGGTACAGTAATTCTGAGCTTAATCTACATAATATAGGGCTCTAAGAAATTGGTAAATTCTGTTTCCAACAACAGATACATAAAATCCTTGACGTATTACTAATAATTTTCCTGACAAACCACCACTAAATAAATATTCTACAAATTGGTTAATGAGAGTGTTTGATTAGAAAAACTGTTTGTGTCAATCATAGCTTCCAAGCATTAACCATCATAAGGTTAAAGTATGCATCATTGTCAATTGAAGCACTAACTCCTGAGTAATAGTTCATGAACTCTTCTTCAGTAACCTGTCAGAAACATAACATGCATGTGTTAAGCGTCAAGTTAAAATCATTAGTTTATTCACATCTCAGAAATCCCTTGAAACACCCTGAAATGCTTATGTTTGGGTTTGGAATCTGTGTACCTGTAAATTTTATACTGTATGGCTAGCATGTTCTAAGAAGGTGCATAAATGTGTTTTTCAATGATAGTCATTATGAAAATATGTTTTTTTGATACACTTGAGGAATGATACATGTACTTGATTGTGAATCTTTATCTTTGACTATTAGTATTATTATCATGTACAAGTATTATTATTTTTTTGTCTTTGTCTTGACCTATTATACAAGGAGAGGGTATGTGTAGGCTTTGTCTGTTTCCCGATCCTTATTGATTTATTTAATAAAATATGTTTAAATTAATTAACATATGTTTAATTTGTAAATTCTCCTATAAATGGCCAAATAGATTTACATGTACTTGTCAGCCCTAAACATACATGATAGAGTAAATAATAATTTTGTGAAGTAATGTGTGTTGTTTGAAAATATGTAACACAATAAGATTTCCTCTGTATATCCTGTGGATTTTTACTTGATTGTATATTTGCAGTGTTTCCATTAGATGTACAGTAAAACCTGCCTATAAGGAATTCCTCAGAACACGTACATATACTTTTTATAACAATTACAGGTTCCTTATACATGTATCCAATTTGAAAAGAACAGGTTACATTTAAGTATAATTTTAAGAAAATGCTTTAGATTGTTTTCTTAGTTTACAAGTTCAAGTTCAATTATATATATTCCATTATTTGTACAATATTTCTTTCATATTTATTAACATTTTTTTTATATATATTAACAATAAGCAGGGAAATTTCATTTTTTTCAATATTAATTCTTCATAATTATAATCAGTAATAGCAAGTTTTACTGTACCTGGAAAAACACTGATGATAATTGCTTTCACTGCTGGTATATTCTCTTCAAGATTAATATGTTGACAAAACTATAACATGTGTCCCTAATTTTTTTTTCACAACCCATTATTGAGTCTACATTAAGCTAATATATTTTTATACAGAATGTAGCAGTGAATAAGACTATGCATGCAGGTGAACTTGCCTCTGTATGTCTGTATCTCATGCAACTACCTGGTACATGCATGTATGCTATATGTGATATATGTGAATATATTTGCATACAGGACATCTCTAATAATTACGATACTTTCACTTCAAAATATCAATTTCTTCAATAATCCTATTAGAAACTTCAGTAATTTAAGTTCTTTAAAGAATCCAGGAATTCAATTTATCCCTTCCAGAAAATTAGAACATTTCCCGAACTTAAAAAAAAACTAGTACCCAGTATAAGTACTATTTAAAAAAAAAAACCCTCCCCTGAGCATGTGTTTTTCTAATTAAAAAGCCACTACAACAATCACACTAGTGCACAGATGCTCACCGTTCCATCTTTGTCATCTGGAGAGTCAAATGAGTCTAAGAACTGTTTAAGGCACTGGTCCTCTGTCCATTCGCCACTGATATATTTGGGATGTTTCTTGACATTATAGACTCCATGTAGATCTTGTACTGTCACAACGCCATCTCCTGTTTTGTCTAATTTCTGAAAAGCTCTCCTTACTAATTCTTTCCTAGAATTATTCATTGGAGGCTGTACAAAGAAAAATTATCATGCTTAAAAAAAAAAAAATCTACAATACACTTAAAGACTCTAAGATGTTTTATTCTATATTTTGCATCCAATTTTAGATCTAAAGCTAGAGTATTATGAATTCAGTTTTTACTTTAGATATCCAATCAGATAGAGAAAAACATTCAATCATATGGCGAAGTTTGTACAACTTGATTTTAATTGCTCAGAGAATATTTTAGTTCGAAAAATCCTTCTCTTTAAAAGAGAAATGACAAGGGCATGGCAAATCCAGAAAAAAAACTTTAAAAAGTGTACAAAAACACATTTTGATTCTCACAAAGCAGGTTTATCAATCTACTCCAGTCAATTTGGGGAAAAAAACCAGCTTAAATGTCAAACTAATTGCAACAGAAATTATTTTGAGATGAAACCTAATATGTACAAAATAACAAAATATAAAAAGTAAAAAATTCTAAGAAAATCTAATGATTTAGGAAGAAAAGCATAATTTTCACATAATTTGACCATAGAAAAGGTACATAACTCTATATATCCATCCAATGTTTTGCTGAAGTATTAAAAGAAAATTCCCTTTTTTCATGATAATGTAATCTGATTTAAACATTCGGGATACAGTTTAACAGTTCTTTTACTTCACATATATGACATAATTTGAAAAAGATGTTTTGAATTTATTGAATAGTTAGTGAATACAGAGTTTAGAAAAGAATAAATATACATAAATTTCCTTTAAAATATAATTAAGTTATTAAGTATGCATTGATAATTTCATTTAGTTCAAAAATATTAAATATATAAGAAACAAAATTATACATAAAGATTATGAGACAAAAATTTTGATTTATAACTTCTATCCTAAAATTGTATAAATATTGTGAGGTGAGGGGATTTAAAATACGCTCTGAAATGGGCTAAACATCTGTAAAAATTTTTTTGCTGGATATGAAAGGTTTTACATGTACTGCATCTAATGAATATACTTATGCACAGCACAGTTTAATTTACTCTTTCTTTCTTTAAGGTAGAAAAATGCATGAAGATTCTAACCAAAATTTACTATAATGACAAGAGTTATTCCCCCTCTGTATAGTAATTTTCATAGGAAAATATTGTAGCACAAAATAATGCTTTCTCTTCATCCAATTTTGTTAGTTTTTTTAATTACATTTATTTCGTGCATTCTAGAGTTTATTTATAACAAAAAAAATTCTGTTGCAATTAGTTTGAGTTTGCGTTGAAAAATATTTTTATCAATAAAAAGTATTCTTAACCCAAAGACTTATCAAAAAGCTTTATATTATTATAGATCATGATACTCGACAACAAAACTATAATTTACACCAAAAATATACTGTCACTGGTAAAAACTTAGCAAAAAGTAAACTATAATACTTAACACTTTGTAAATTATAATTTACAGTAGGTAAATCTAGTTTATTGACTGCATAAAAAAAGTATTGTAAAACTTGGTTTTGTGAAATTATCCATAAAAACATTATCTTACCCTTAGAGCTTCTAGAAATTCATCAAATGAAAGGGAACCACTGTGATCTTTATCTAACTTATCAAACAAAGACTGTATGGTATCTTTATCCATTACTAGTCCATAATCATGAATTCCCTTCTTGAATTCTTGAAAGTTGAGACTTAAATCAGCATTATCATCCATGATCCGGAATGTTCTGTAAATATAGGTAAATAAATTATTTAAAATTAGGTAAAGAATCTATTTCTTTTCAAAATTCTTCAATTTGTCTTCTTTTCCACACAATGTACCAGTTAGTCCCCATTTTGACTAAATGGAATCATTTATAAATAGGAAGTTTCTCCTCTGTTATGTTTGTTACTGTGCAAAGTTTGCAATAACATATGAAAGACAAAGATGTACATCTATATAGAAGACATGTAGGCTTATATAGTTGTTTAAGAAACAATTCTAGAAAGATCCATTACAATAGGTATCTAGATACAACAACTGAGAATAAATCTAAGAGAATGAAAGTATTATAAGCTTTTGCAGAGGTTAAGTGGATTAGAACTTTTGCAGAGGTTAAGTGTTGTGTGCAGTTTGTTTTTGTTCCGACCCCCCCCCTTTTTTTTTGATGAATTCATTAATGTTATAATAAATGTTGTTTTCCCAATAGTTATAATCATGCATGCAAGATATTGGGATAGGGTCACGATTTTGATATAGTTTTAATAACTGCTACTTCAATATCGGTACGAATAAAAATGTATATTGATCACGATGTTTACACTACGTGATGAAACATGTTTACATGTACATCACATAATGCATATCATTTAATTGGTATACCTGTGCACCATGAATAAAATTAAAATGCATGAAAATGTAAGCATCATACCTGCCAAGACCTTTGATTCCACTTGCCCCCCGCGCTAGACAAGCATAGCGAAGCTTTTCAACGGGATCTGTTGCTGTGTTCATCATTTTCTTTGCTTTCTCTTTCAACTCGCGGTTGCCTCGATTTGTGCACGCCATGCTTGTAGTCGGTCTTGCATAAAATAAAAGAATCAAACAACGTTGGAAAAAGCAATCAAAATGAATAATGACTAAAATAAAGTACTATAATGCTTATTTTATACCTTAACACAAGCGATGTCTGCAAGTAAACAAACTACCTGTTTTCGCACCTGCCTTCCGCTTCAAGCTATGACACGCTTTATTTATGCGGTTACGATGACAACGGGGAGTAGTTGTTATTGCAGACAAAGCTGTTAACATTATTCATTCAATTATCGATTATCAACTAATTAAATAAAGACATCAAAGTTTAATTATTAATGTGCATATTTTTAAAAGTTGTTTTTTTAGTGTGATTATATATAACTAGCACATGCAATTATGGAAAGCCGTACATTAAATAGAGTTACGGTACCTATTAAATGCATTGCAGGACCTTTTATTTTCATACATAATTTTATTCACAAAAATTGAATGGGATTGGACAGCAGGCAAAGCCTATTTCAGCCCTCTCCCTTCATTGCAGAGACTTTTCTTAGACATAATGTAAAAACTTTTCATTTCATGTTTTCTGAAAATTTAGAGGTTTAGATTGAAAAAAAAAAAAAACAAAAACAAAAAATATTCCATTTACTTACATAATGTTTTTATTGCATATCTAATTTTATTATACATCAATTTTATAAATTTTGCTATAAAATACATACATGTACGTAGTGTAAAACTGAGCTTACGATTTAAAGTTACCCCCCCCCCCCGAACTATGAACATGTAAATAGATGTATGTACATAGCTGTTTTTAATGCTTAGAAGGTTTCGCCTCTGGTATCTTTCTAGAAAATTCTGCCATTTGCAAAAAAAATTTCTATGTATCATGCTTATATAGCTTATTCTAAGCCTTCACTGCGATATCATGATCATCTTCGTAAGGCTGCATGAAGGCACATGCAACAACATGGGTTTTCCAAGGAAAGGGTTTCTGATCCGCTCTGCTCCACATAGTGCAAATGGAGCGGAGCGGATTAGAAACCTTGACTTGGGAAGATGATGCAGCATTTGAAGCATGATACATACACGCATCATGTATGCAGCATGTGTGCAAGATTGGATTACTAGTGCGTTAGGAATGGACCTGTCCTGAAGAAAAACTTCCTAATCACTTATCCGGAAGATATATAGGTAACATGCAGCATCTGAATCACGTTTGGTAAAGTTTGTCATCAATATTGTCTGTTATCATAAATGTATATGTAAGCTTGATCAATGTAAAGATTTAATTGCAATCTGATTAGAATCAGATCCTTTGATCCGCTCACATAGATCGCTACATAAGGATCAGATCTATGTGAGCGGATCAAAGGATCTGATTCTAATCAGATTGGATTTAATGCTTCCTTGATAAATGAATCTGCTATTTTTGTAGAGACTTTAATCCTATCACTTATCCGGAAAATATAGGTCACTCGCATCACCTTATAAAACATTGCATGTATCTGAACCTAAGCATTACTCTTCAAAAACGGAATCGAATACTAATTGTACAAAAGTCCTTATGGCACACTTTTAATAAGGATCTTTCACACACACACACACACACACACACATACACACACTCTCTCTCTCTCTCTCCCTCTCTCTCTCTCTCTCTCTCTCTCTGTGTTGCCCGTGTGGCGCAGTGGTTAGAGCATTTGTTCTAGAAAGAGTCGCGGAGTAAGGGGATGATCCTTGCGTCGCGGGTTCAAATCCCACTGTGGGACGTGAAGACCGGTCCTTCGGATGAAACCGTATAAAACAAGGTCCCGTGTCACAGTATGGGCGCTGGTACGAAAAAGATCCCCCACTGCTCAAAGGCCGGTAGTATCGAGAACAGGTTTAAATTTGCAACCCTCCGGCCACCGGCAAGTGGTGGCATCTCCGTGAGTAAAAAAATTCTCGAAGGGACGTTAAACATCAAAGAAAATCAAAGAAGGGGAAATGGAAGCTGTTTATTTTTTTCTAGTGACTGTAACCTATCTAATTAGGAAAAAAATATCTTTTCTGGAGGCCACCTGTTGTCACCACTAAAAAAAATCGGCGACCACCGGATAAACTATTTTTTTTTACGTTTGTACAAAAGCAACTTATCAGAGTAGCTGATCAGAAACCCTTGCCTAGCGAAGATGCTCGTAATTACGAGAAAAAAGTACGTAATTACGAGAGAAGATCTCGTAATTACGAGATTTTTTTCTCGTAATTACGAGATTTTTTTCTCGTAATAACGAGTTTTTTTTTTCTTATAACGAGATGATTTTCTCGCAATTATGAATTCTTTTCTCGTACATGCGAGATCTTTTCTGGTAATTACGAGATATTTTTTTTTCGGAATTACCATATAGTGATTTTTTTTTTTACTTTGCTTTCGTATACGTTTGGGCTTCCATACTTGAATGATTCTATAATTCTTTTTTATCAATTTTTTCATCTAGTATATCATACGAGTCTGTAGCTTCTAGAAGTGATATCATTTGGTACTGTGAATGGAATATTGCTGCTGTGGTACATGTAGTGGATACTGGACACACGTAGGCCCTAATGTATGTAGCTATTGTTGCTAGGTAGAATGAACTTGCGTTGTCACGTGATCAAACAAATATGGCGCTGGTTTGACGGGCACCTGCTATTGGATGTATATTTTGACTTTTTAAGCATGAACACGAACTGAAGAAATTGAAAATGAAAGGTAACTGACTACGAAATATTCAAACGATGTTTAATGATTAATTTTAAGCATCATTTGACTGTTGAAATTCAAACAAGTGTCAATAACAACAAAGGTTAGATAATATTGCAGTGCTTGTGAATTACGAGGGTACCAAATGAGCCTCAAAATTCGATGAGTCGATGAAAAGGACATTTGCAACTACTACCAATTAAATGTTTGATGTTTAGTACAATTGATAAAGTTCTACATCTGTCTCCATTTTATTGCACTAGTCTGTATAACTGTATAATAGTTAGGTATTATATAAGACTGGTTTGAATGGTAACGGGACGTTTCGCCCCAATTGATGTTTCGCGCCGAGACCATTCGCCCTTAAAGACCTTTCGCGCCGAGACGTTTCGCGCCCGATTTAATCTTCATTGTCTATAACGATATAAATACGATATGTTTTAAGATAAATATTTACATATTAGGTTAATATTGACTTTATTAAAAAAGTTCTAAAGTTACTAAAAAAACTTTCATGTCTGTTTAAATTGTTGAAAATAGGCTTATACCATAATTAAAGGTATAATTATCCATGTGCAGATATAATTATGTTTATTCAGCAATCATAATTGTCTGATTCAGTTTTGTAATTAAGGTGTTATAATTTGGTTTCCAGTGTCCGCAGGGACTTATAGGTCCTTATAGGTCCCTGCGGTGTCAGGTGTTAAGTATAACCCATATAAATTGGTATTATTGATTGAACCAATTGATTGGATTAATATAACACAGTATAAAAGTTAAGAAGTTGATAATTGCTGTTAACAAGTGATAATTGCCACGTGATTAATTGATTGATCTTCGGTGCGAACCGTCCTTGGGCGAAACGTCTCAGCGCGAATGGTCTTTCAGGGCGAACCGTCCCGCACTCGTTTGAATCCCTACTCTCAGCACAGGAACATCTTATTGTCGTGACATACGGCATTAGACATGTTATAACTAATTACTTTAACCGTAAATTTAAGTGTACAGCAAATATTTAATAGGCCTATATATGCAATGTTTAAGATGTGGGAAATTCAAAGGGACCAAAATGAGGAATTGCCTTAACAGGAACACAGTAATTGCATTTCATAAGCTGCATATTTTATTGCTCAAGACCCACCAAGATGATGTTAAGCTCCCGTGATGTTTGTTATTACAATACACATGCTGAAAATCTTCAAAATTTTTAGGTTTGAAGTGGTTTGAGTTTACTTAGTTATAAGGAAACAGTCAACTACACAGAAGAGAAGACAAAAATGCCAGGGGTCAAGCCCAGTTCTTCTTTGACATCTCTTATGATGGACAAACAGGGTAAGATGTTCTTCATTTGAAATACTTGATATACTGTAAATAAGTTCCTGTGGTATTAATCAGAGTGCACAAAGATGCAAATAGGAAATCCTAGTTAAATATACCATGCTTGGATGATATTTAAATGAATTATCAGAGCATTGAATATTCCATACATTAGAAACTGATGATGGAAAAGATGAATTTTGGAAGAATTGATTTTGAGTGCTGTACAAAGCTTTCACGGAAGTAACACGTCACAATTGAAGCAAATTTCCAGGATTAAAAATATGTAACAATGATTTTAAACTCAGTCATAGTTGAAGCAATTTTATCACTAGACACCAGTAATATACGATATTCAATTACATTGAATTCATTCATTCATTACATTGAATTGAATACATTCAAGGTTAATAATTTTCCATTTAGCACAAAGTGAGACAAATGTGACCACCCTAAGTAACACTTTTGGTCACACAGTAACCTTTTGACGTGGTTACTGTCCTTGACAGGGAATTGTCAAGGAGTTATTTTAAAGAATTAGATGAATTCCTTTTCTCCAGTCTTTATTAGAGATGAAATATGTACATCAGTTACATACAAGAGTAACAAGACTGGGTTTGCCAGCCCTACATGTAACACATGGTAATTCTCTAACTGCCCTAAATGTAACCAGCATTAGACTTTTTAGCAGATTGACAGGATGTTGTAGCAGAAAAATATGGAAGTTTTAGCAGAAAAATTTTGGACATTTTAGCAGAAGATTTGTAAGACATTTTAGTGGAATTTGAAATAGTATGCAGACATTTTAGCAGAAAATTCAGGAAATCTTTTTTCTGTTATCCAGTCTCCTGCTCACCCACACTCTCATCGATAGATAGGAGTAGGAATTTAATAGAGAATAGTCTGGGAAGAACTCATAGTTCAGGCACGGATCCAGGAATTGAAGTTGGGGGGGGGCACAAAAAGTAGGCAGGGGGTCTGTGGGCCGCCTTGAAGCCCCCAGTGGGTCCAGGGAGGGGGCTCATGGGGCAAAGCCCCCGGAAGCTCCTGGATTGTAGCGATTTTGTAGGGTAAAAATGAAGTCTACCGAGTAGACATTTTCTCGACAAAACTATCATTTACACTAACTTTGACAATTTTAGGAGGGGGCGCACGCCAGGTGCGTTCCCCTTAAATCTGCCTCTGTAGTTGGAATTCAGTCTTTGACATTTTTTATAGGAAATCTCTAAGAAATAGGGTCTGGTTTAAGTATTCCATCAATTCTACCATGTTCTCCTGTACTTCCCTGTATGAGTTGAGTTTTGTTTTTACCCGTGCCATTAAAGCTTCTATAAAAGCTGATAACTTGGTAATTTATTGGTCAATATTTGCTGACTTTGCATTGATTCTTAACAAAGAATCAAATTTATTTGAAAAAAAATCCAATGAAATGTCCATTGAATTTTTCCAGGTAACAGATTTTTCCTTCGCTAAAATGTCCTATAAATATTCTACTAAAATGTTAGGGATGAGTATCGCCAAAAATTTTGTATCGTGATATGATTCATTTTTTCCAAAAATATTGCAATAGTTACATGTATTTTCATGATATTTGAACACAATTTTTACCATGGTTTCAATTTTTGGAACAAATATATTGTGAAAATGTAACAACTTATTTTTTTCATTATTATTTATATATTAATAAAGCATATTTGGATGCTAGGATACAGGTGAAGCATCGTTTTTTACAATTCCATTAATTGTAATTCAAAAGTATATCCAGAATTTATAATCACATGCTAAATACTGGTATTTTAATCTCCATTTCACAATATGTAATGCACAATTAAAAAGATCACGATATACCTGTATACCAATAAAATCGTGCATCCCTATAAAATGTCCATTTTCACCTTTTACAATTCCGATAAAATTTCCTTTGCCCAATGTAACATCTAATTCTCTGACTGCTACCTTTCAACTCTACTGATTTTTTTGTTTTGTTTTGTTGATAAAATGTAATTGAGTGAATTATAGAATGAACAATTATTTGCTCAAATTGTATTGTCAATAAAAGAGTAGATGACATAATTGACATAATTAATGTCACACCCATCAAGTCTTGATACTTCATGGGGATCAATAACAATGCGATAGCTGAACCATCAAACTTTAAAATACTGTGTAAATGTTTTAACATTTCCATTAATATTTTTAAAAAAATATTGAAGATTATATTTATTTTATTGGCTGTAACTCAGATGTGTTTGAAGATGTACAATATTCCTATTCCAGTTTCACTTATAGTCAAATAAGAGTTGCTATAACTGACTTTGGCATCTAAAGTTGATTATTGTTACTAGGAACCATAAGGCAGGCCCAGATTGATAATATAATCATTATAATAGCTAAATGATACACTATAACCAATAAAGCAGTGGAGATAATAGATTCTTTATAGTTAGTCAGTTTACATATCAGCATGTCTTTGCTGTTAATCGAATTCCTATGATCTCCATGCAATTGTTAATTGTGATGTTGTGTATCAGTGTACATAAGTGTTACTTTTGCTTTGTTATTTGGTGCCTGACTGCATAGCAAACACAGTCTATGAATAATTAACTGTCCATTCGATAACTAGCTTCCCTTAAATCAATGAAAGAGAAAAGAGAATGCCCCAACTGTAACCTCTACAAGTTTGCATTCAATGATTTCCCATTCTGCAGGTAGAGGGTTTTTGAGATATTATTCAGCCCATACAAGGAGGCCAAACATTGGATTAAACTTCCAATTCTAATGTTTATTTAAATCAATAAGTTCAAAGTGGTCAAGTATATTCCGATCTTGAAGTACGTCATAGATGGAACTTTTGACACTTCAGCGCTAGTGTATCTTTGTCAATGAAGGCAGGAACTTGGACATTTAATTGGCGTTGATTAACACTGATGTGGTATTCTGGTAAGGTAAATTTTTTGCTTCAGTTAACTTAAATGGTTAATAAAAATATTATTTGAAATGATTGATTAAATGAAAATAAGGACAAAATGTATCACTGATGGTTGAAATTTAAAAAATAATGGAAGCAGATTCAGATATTAATTGCCAAAAAAATTCTGTTTCAATTTAGCAAAAATAATAGGTCATTAATACCGTATTTAGATGTGAAATGATATAGAAATGATCACTTGGACCGTGTCCATAAACGCTATATGATATATAGTTCTAAAGAAGTTTTGCTAGATCATTCAGTGTCTCTACATAGGTTCCACATGCAATTTAAAAAAAATTAACATATTGAAAGAATGATGATTTAAAATTGTTGTTTTAATTTTGTGAAATTATGAATACCTAGATACATACATGTATATATGGCTTTCAAGTTTCAAGTACATGTTGAATGTTTTGATCTTTGGATTTAACTTTATACAATTCAGCACAAGAGGGTATTGTACACCAAAGAAATGCTAATCTCAATAGAAATTAAAAACTATTTAAAAAAACCTGCTAATCCCAGCTACTCTTAATTACTGGTAAAATAATTAGTCATTAAGGATTAACCTGTGGGTAAAAATTTAAAGGTGAATGAACAATTTTTTTTTAAGCAACAGACCAAGAGACCATCTTATCGATCTTCTAGAAGTACTGCTGATTTAATTAATAAATCATGAATTTCTCTGTAGTCTTGTGTACTACAGTACAGTATGGTGAATGGCTTACTATGCAACAACCTTTTGGATCCTAATTTTATCTGATATTACACTTTACTGTAAAAGAAAAAAAATGCTATATAATGCTGGTATATGATTTTCATTTTCAGAGACTTGTATATACATATGGTTATAAGGTCTTTTCTTAGGCATAAACTGAACAAAATTATTTTGATTTATTGATAGTATAAGTACATGGATGTTGCTTTGAGTTAAGGCTCTTAATGATTTTAAGATGGTAACATTTAAGGGGGTACCCCAACACATACTGCTTTATCAGTGTAGGTGAAAAGCTTTGTATGAGGTATATGGCTTTAATTTTTATAAAGAGCGATAGAGAGAGAGAGAGAAAAGGGGAAAGAAAACTAATACATTTGATTAATGAATAGAAGATCTAGAAAAGGCCAAATAACTTTTTTTCCGATATTCTTGAAATTTTTAGTATATTGCATAAAATCTTTGACATTAAACTGTTCCACTTTTCAGATGTGACTCTGACATCCTTAACGCAATATGCCCGGCGACCAGGTGCTACACAGTCCTCCTCCATGTTACAGAGTGCCAGACAACAGACCTCAGATGAGAAAAGAAACACGGAAATGGAGGACAAAAAGGCAGTACAGGCACCAAAAAAGAAACGCAAGAAAAAACACGGCATTACTGCCAACCTGAGTGGCACGAGATATGAAGTCAGTGAGTATCATATCTCACTTTTTTCTGTGTTTCAATCCTGCCTCTACCCCCCCCCCCCCCCCAACTCCTATTCCCAATTCTATGTTCAAATCATCCAGAGGAGACAGCAAGTGCCACCTGGCTGTGTAAATCAGTCATAATTTTTTGAGAATGCAGTGCAGTGAATGATGGAAGAGAAATGTCTAACTTTAAAAAATGACAAAAATTCAATTTAATAGACCTGAAATCCTAGGAATTTATTTTAGATTTACAAGATTAATTTTTATTTTTCAAAATGAAATTTTAAAAAAATCATTCCTCTGTCTCCATAATACACACTGCATGTCAACCAAATATATAAGACATGAGTTATAAATGGATTACATTTATCATGATTGATCGAAAGACATATTGATATTGTATAAACATTTTGGATGATGATCAGTGTTTGAGAATAGTAAACGAGAAATAAATGCAGAAAGGGGCTTATAATATTTGAAAATTATAAACTCAGAAGAATGAAATTAAGAAATTATATTTCTTCTAAGCATGAATGATACCAGTGTCCTCAAATTTGTTTGGAGAGTGCAGAGGTACAAATATGCTTCTCACCAGTACAAACTGGAGTACACTGTATATGATGGAGGGAGGAGGGGGGGTATGGTAATCAACTACTTAAACACAGTAGTTCTCTCTGGGTACTCCAACTTTTGACCACACCACTGACCCCCTTGCACATACATCATTGTAAACTAAAAATTTTAAATGTTATGATTATTCATATTATAACAAAAATGTTCATTTAACTTTTCTTTCAGTACGATTAATGTGTGAAAAGTGCAAATTTGATATCTGCAAGGATGATGATCCAAACAGGTTAGTGAAAGATTATCAAAAAAAGGAATTTCATTAATTGCATGGGAAATTAGAATTTCAGTTGATTATTCATTGATCTTTATCTAAAGTTCATGTAAAGAAGAAATGTGAAGACATGTTTGATGGTTTTTGATGTGTTATAGTTATGTTCCTCTGTATTTTGAAGATAATACGTAAGTTATGTCACTAGTCCGCAGAAAATAAAGCCATGCACAGCCAAGGCACAAAATGGCTGCTTTTTTTTTCTATTTTGATGTTAGTTTTCTGCTTTATACAGTAACTTAAAAATGTTTGTGAAATTATTTTTATGTACTGTCCACAAGAAACTACAGTTGAACTTCGGTATCTCGAACACTGATATCTCGAATACCATGGATATGTCAAAGTGATTTGGAAGTCCCCATCCACTTATTCTTTAATTATTTTACCCCTGATGTCTCAAATCCTTGGATATCACGAAGTATTTTCTCATTCCCATCGAGTTCGAGATAACAAGGTTTGACTGTAATTGTAAGTAAAGTACAAAGCATCAATGGTGTCTGTACAAAAATTGAGATTTTGCAAAATTTAGTTGATTAAAAATTATATAATACTTCATGCACTTTAATAAACAGAGTTTGAAGGTAGGGTAAAGTTTTACTATCAATACTATGAGATTAGGATGTCTCCGAGACTTATCTGATCTAGCTAGGCTAAGATACATAAGCTTCTCATTTATTGACCCAGAGGACCAGCAGTTTACCACTGCATAAATACTAGGGATGCTGGAATTCAGTGGGCCATCTGAAGCTTCAGGGAACATCTTTTTTTTTAATACATAAAAATGGTTGACAATAAAAAAAAAATGAATAGTGGGGATGGTTCTGAGGTTGCACCTCTACCTGATAAAGATGAAAGAAGTACATGTACCTTATTCATAATTTCAGTAGAACTGCAGCATGAAATTAAAGCAACATACTGCAGAATTTCTTTGATGTAGCACACATTCCACAATAATTGTGCTTTTGTTGAGTCTTGTGTATATAGTATTTTCTTAAAACTTGTCCTTGAAAACTTTTTATGATCGAGGAGTTGATTTTTTTTTTTTCACTCTATGATGTAGAAATTTCCTTTGAAGATTTTTTTTTTACTTTTTGTGAAGAAATGTTATTTTGTACTATAGGTATCTCATATTTTTCTATATTTTTGTTTAGCTACCTCATCTGGAGTGACAGTTTTGTGTCTGCAGACAGAATTACAGAACTCAAGCCATTCCAGAGAATCAACCACTTTCCAGGCATGGTGGAAGTCACAAGGAAGGATTGCCTGGCTCGCAACATGATTAAGTAAGCCAGCAATTCAGTATACATTCATTTTGTAAAAGACCAGCAAAAATTTACATTTAATGTATTATCCTTGTCATTTAATTCGTTTCTGAGATGGAATTGCATGTATTATGCATATTCATGAATAATTAAAATTAAGTGAGAAACTGAGCAAGCAATAGGTCGGAAATGCCTTTTCTTCATGAAAACTTTGACATTATATTAGAAGCAAAGAAATGTTTGGTGCATATGTAATAGGTTGTTAATGGTGTTTAATAATTTTATAACTCCATGTAAAGATATGATCTCATGTATAGGATTTTTTGTGTAGGATTCAAAGACACCATGCTGATGAGTTTAACTTCATCCCAAAGTCTTGGATTCTGCCAGCAGACTTCAGTATGCTACAAAATTATGCTAAAGACCTCAAGGCTAAGAAAAAATACAAAACCTTCATAGTCAAACCGTCCAATGGAGCACAAGGGCATGGGTAAGTTTGTAATAAGTGTTAAAAGTTTTTATTTTTTTTTGGTATCAAATATAATTTAAAACTTGAGTAAAGGTAGTGGTGGTGGTGGTGGGGGGTGTTAATTTTTTTCTACAAAATATAAGTATCTTGAAGCCTTACCCTCTGGTGTCATTTTTTTTTTCCTCACAAAAGTCGGCAATTACACATTATGAGTCCTCCATTTTATCTATAAATACAAAAAATGAATATTTGATAATTTTAAAAGTATTTTTAATTTGTCTTTTTTTTTTATTATTTTTTAGAATTCAGTTATATAGGAATGCAGAAAAAATACCCCCCTCTGAACATTTCATTGTGCAAGAATACATAGACAAACCTCTTCTTCTGGAGGGCTACAAATTTGATCTGCGCATCTATGTTCTTGTGACATCATGTGATCCCTTGCGAATATTTATATTCAATGATGGACTTGTGAGAATGAGTACAGATAAATACACCAATCCCTCCGATGGAAACCTGGTGAGAACACAGAACTGAGTAATTCAATAATATTTGACACACTTGGTATTAATACGCATAAGATATATCATATATAAATACTGTTTCATGTTCCATTATAACAACATTTTGATTTTTGATGTCTATTTTTTGTTTCAGGGTAACCTATTCATGCATTTGACGAATTATTCTGTGAACAAACACAATGAATTCTACCAGAAAGGTGACTCGGTGGAGACTGGAAGCAAGCGATCAATCCGCTACTTTAATGATTATCTACGTAAAAATGACTATGATATTGTGTTACTATGGCGACGAATCTATGACATGGTGGTAAAGACACTTTTGGTGGCTCACCCCCATCTCCTTCATGCCTACCGAATGTGTCGCCCCGGTGCTCCAGCAGGAAGTGATAGTGTTTGTTTTGAAGTGCTGGGATTTGACGTGTTAATCGACAGAAAGTTAAATCCATGGTTGCTGGAGGTAAAGTTTGAAGCTTTTTAAAGACCTTGAATTTTTCATAATTTTCTAGTGATTGCTGAACATTTTAAAAAATCAGGCTGTATAAATATTGCTGTCTTTAAAGGAAGATAACTTGTTGCTGATTTGTATGTTTTACAGATCAACCGATCTCCTAGTTTTGGTACAGATGAAAAAATTGACTTTGATATAAAATCAGCTCTTATAGAAGATACAATTCGCCTTCTGAATATCAAGTATGTATTTTTTATTTTTGAAATTGTGTACACATTTCTTCAACTCCCGTTCACCCGAGGAACTCACTCTGTTATATATGCTGGCTTTTATTTGCTCTGCAGAATAAGTGATAAGAGAAGGAATTACTTTGCTCAAAAGGCTGAGGCTCAAAAGAGATTATTTCGGACCACCAAACGTAGTGATGCTGACATGACGGAGCTAGATAAAAAGAAACAGAGCATCGAAAAACGCAAGGAGGAACTTGTATGTATAAACTTGGATCGCAGGATCTTTAAAATATATTTATAGATATGGTGATCTATGGATAAGATATGAACATTCAAGAACATTTTACAGCATTAACAAGAGGCCCAAGGGCCTTAACGGTCACCTGAGTATAATACAACAATTTAGAAGTTAAATACACTGATAGATGAAGCTTTGTTGCCCTAAAGCAAGAGAAGTACGAAGATCAGGATCAACAAAATAATTAGTCTAGTATTCAGTATCAACTCATAAATTAAGTTCTAATCTGTCCCCCACTTAACACTATCACATGCAGACTATTAACAAACTATTAGTGCTTCTGTACTATTTTTAAACCCATATTAAGACCTCTAGCATTGACCTCTCTTATGGTCTTTGAAGAACTTTTAATAAGATAAGTTATTTTTGTCTCATTTTTATTTATCTATTACTTACAGGTCTACCTGATTATTAAAACTAAGAAAATACTTTTTGAATTATATGATAAACATTCTTGCATAATTATCTATTCTATTAACCTTCCAAATGTATTATTTACAGTGATTAATTATCAAAGGTGAATGGAAAAGGGGAATAACTTCTCTCAGTAAAATGCAAATTAATAGAGCCCTGCCCAGGACTAGAATGCTTAGATAAATGGTCCAGATGTTCAAAAATCTGGTAGAAATATGCTTACTTATATCATTTAAACTTTTACTCAGTTTTCTTCCGATATGCCCAGAAGCAGAGAAGAATTTCACAGGTACAATGCATTTTCACTAAAGATTCAACAAAGCCTTACCTTAACACCAGAACCCAAGACCAAGGGTCAAGAAATTTACAAATTTGGAAGAGTTACCCTCATCATCATAACTATGGACTTTAAAGAATTAACACTTTTCCACTATATTATCAAAAGCCCCCCCCCCCCCCCTCGTTATGCCAGAACCCCTGATCCTAGGACCACAAGATTTAAAAATTCTGTTTGAAGCTCCATTTTCATCATAGCTAAGCAATTTATTTATCAGCTCATCACCAAGGAGCAGACAGGATTAATTAATGATTAATTAATAGAATTAATGCTTTTTCACTATATAATCAATAGAGCCCCCCCCCCCCCCCCTCCTCAAGAACCCCAAAAACTGAGGCCATATATTTAAAAATTTTGGAAGAGGCATCCTTGCCTATCGTAATCATGCATTTAGTTTGTTTAAATAATCTCCAGTAGCAGAGAAGAAGATTTTCAAAGAATCAATGCATTTTCACTATATAATCAATAGAGCCCCGTCCTAACACCAGAACCCCTGACCCTGGGGCCATGGCTTTCACAATTCTGGAAGAGGCCCACCTCCTCATCATAACTATGTACTTAGTTTATCACCTTAATGCCCAGGAGCAGAGGAGAAGATTTTCAAAGAATTAATGCATTTTCACTATATAGTCATTAGAGCCCCGCCCTAACACCAGAACCCCTGACCCTGGGGCCATGAAATTCACAATTTTGGAAGAGATACTCTTGCTCATCATAACTATGTACTTAGTTACTTTATTAAATATCCAGGAGCAGAGAAGAAGATTTTCAAACAATTAATGCATTTTCACTATATAATCAATAGAGCCCCGCCCTAACACTAGAACCCTTGACCCTGGGGCCATGAAATTCACAATTTTTGAAAAGGCACTTTTGCTCATCATAGCTATATACTTAGTTACTTTATTTAATTCCCAGGAGCAGAGAAGAAGATTTTCAAAGAATTAATGCTTTTTCACTATATAATCTATAGAGCCCCGCCCTAACACCAGAACCCCTGACCCTGGGGCCATGAATTTCACAATTCTGGAAGAGGCACTCTTGCTCATCATAACTATGTACTTAGTTACTTTATTTAATACCCAGAGGCAGAGAAGAAGATTTTCAAACAATTAATGTATTTTCACTATATAATCAATAGAGCCCCGCCCTAACACCAGAACCCCTGACCCTGGGGCCATGAATTTCACAATTTTGGAAGAGGCAGTCTTGCTCTTCATAACTATGTACTTAGTTACTTTATTTAATACCCAGGAGCAGAGAAGAAGACTTTCAAAGAAGTAATGCACTTTCACTATATGATCTATATAGCCCCACCCTGGGGCCAGAATCCCTGACCCTGGGGCCATGAATTTCACAATTTTGGTAGAGGGCTCAATGCTTATTACAATGATGCCAACAGTTAGAGTGCTTGATGTCCAGGAGTAAAGAAGAAGATTTTTAAAGATTGCATTATTTTTGGTGGTTTTAGCCCCACCCCTCAGGCCCCAGGGGGGCAGGGACCATGACATTCACAATTTTTGTTCCCCTTCACCCATAAATGCTATATGCCAAAATTGGTTGAAATTGGTTGAGCGGTTTCAGAGAAGAAGCTAAAAATGTTCAAATGTTAACGCACTGACGAACGACGAACGCCGACGGACAAAAACGGATAGCAATAGGTCACCTGAGTGACTCAGGTGACCTAAAAAGTAAAAAAAAAAACAAAAAAAACTCCATTTTATCATTATTTTGGAGTTTTATCTTTAGTTTATAAAGTTATTACAATGTATAGAAAACATTTTTTATATAAATAATGACTTTACAGAAAGAGCATTTAGCCAGAGTGAGAAAGGCCACAGCTCGAGAGGATTTTGAGAACAGGAATGCCGGGAGGTTTCGAAGAATATTTCCCTCTGAAGACAAAATGAAGCAGCAGAAATATGTCAACATCATGTCTTCCATATTTGGAATTGTTATGTCTGGGCGGGCACCTGCAATGCAGAAAGAAATTCAGAAAGTTTATAACAACCAGTGGAGGGTAAGAGTGCTCTACATTTAATTTTCTGTGTTACAGTGTTGACATGTGGTTTATGGTTCAAATCTGCAGTGAATAAGCATCATGTATGAATTGTAGTGGTTTATTCAGTCATAATGAATGTCACATTTATTTTCATAGCTATGTTTTAGTTGTTTGAAGTAGTTCAGATCCTATTTATCATTCCACAGGAGGAAGACTTATTGGACATGATTGCAGAGTGTGAAACTGATGAAAAAGATGGAAAACTCTACTCTGGTGGGAGCAAGATTCCAAGAGGACCAAAGGTAGGTTCTCTGAAGCATATAGTCACAACAACAAGGATAAAGCTAATTTACTTATGGGTAACAATTTCTTACCTTTAACTGTAACAGCAAACTCCTATATGTATAAGTCAAACAATGCTAATAAATACCACTTATATACAGCAAAGTTGATATTGTCAGAGTATTAATGTTATACACAATTATTGTCTTTGGACAACTTGTAGCCTTTGTCAAGTATGCCAGTCAGTGTCCAGAGTCCTCCCATGGAGGATGAGTTTGAGGAAATGGAAGAGGAAGAGGCAGAATATGCCTCACCCCCAGGGTCCCCCAACTTAAACAGACGAGAAAGTCGCCCTCCCTCCAATAAATCCCGCCCTGGCTCCCTGCGACCAGACAGTCGAGTCAGTAATGATGCTTCTAGTCTTTGTAATTCTCGGCCAAACTCAGGTGTGTCCAGTATGAGGTCACGACCTCAGAGCAATATGTCAGCCTTGAACTCAAGGTCAAAGTCATTGTCACGGCTGACCGGGAAGCAGTCTGTTTTACAGAGATCCTTAATTGTAAGTCAAACTGTATTATCTTCTTATTTTCATGTTTCTGCATTTTATTCAGTGGAGATAAATTCTTTGAACATTTTTGTTGGAATCATACTATCAGTACAGTAAAAACAAGGTTACAACGAATATGTTTACAATGAATAACACTTACAGTGAAGTGATTTTCATTCCCTGTGTTTTTTTTGAAATATAAACTTAACAGGTACATATATAGTGAATTACATTAATGATGAATCAAAATCGTTTGCTGGCACACTGCTATTAGCTTGCTTTACTTTATTATTTGTATATATGTAATTCTTGTCTTTGAAACTGCATGAGGAGTAGATTTCAGACAAAAAATATTTCTCGTTGCTTTTATTAGGATGATAATTTCCTAATTACTGTGGTCAAAGAGAGAGAGGATGAATTGACAAAGAAAACTCTACAGGCTCTGAATGAAATGAGAATCAAATTCCCAGGAAAGACTGACCAAGAAGCAGAGCTGATATTAGATACTGTGAGTTCTCTATTTTGGGTAGTACATGCATTTCAAACTTCAGGTTTTCAGATACAAATACATTTCAAAGAAGATATTTCCATTTAACAAAAATGGGGAAATTGGTCTAATAAAAGCAAAATATTATTTGTTTAGGGAATACTATATAATTCAGTCCGTCAGAGATTTTGAAGAATTGTCATCTGAAGGGGGTGGTATGGGGAAAAATTCACTAAAAATATTTTAAACCCCTGTATCAATAAATACCCTGCATCAAGATAAAGTATGTTTAATGTGCAACAGGAAGACCATCAATTTTGGTCTTACAGTATCTAAACTTCAAGGTGCAGGGACTACCCTGCCAGGAAATATGTGCCAAAGACTGTTTCTTTCCTTTTTTTGGCTTATAGTGTGTTATTTTGATAGAATACAACTTCTTCTTAAGACCCAATTAAAAACTACTAGTATGTTATGATATCATCCTCTGTGCACAGCTTGGAATGAAAAATATTTATTTTGCATTCGACTTTATCATAAAATTTTTATAAGAAAACATATTTCTTTATTTCAGCTTCATGAAAACTGGAAATTTCACAAACCAAGGATTGCTTCTTACTGGCTAGTCAAGCTAGACTCAATTAAAAGACGAAAGGTATGGTGCTAAGCACTAAGCAAAATATAAAGCAATAATTGAATTTATTTTTTTTAATTAAATTGAAAATTAGATATGAATATCATTTACCAGTAACTATCAGTTGAATTCAGAATCGTGTTTTCTAGGTGATAGATATAGTTCGTTCCAATGTGCGGGCCGTGCTACAGAGGATTTGGCGTATCAGTGATGTGGATAACTTGAGGTTGTATAGGATTTTTACACGAGTGTTTAATCGTTTACTGTGGAGCCATGGACAAGGGCTGTGGAACTGTTTCTCAACAACAAGGTACCCTTTACTGGAAAACAAACCTGCCTGTATATACATGTACACACAATCCCTATTCATCAAAATTTTAATTTTTTTAACATGAAAAATCATTTTATAAAAACAATGACAAGACCATTTTTTTAAATGATCACTTTATAAAACAAACAATAACAAGGTAATTGAAAATGATGAAGATTGCTTGTACCCCAACACTAAAATTTTTATTTGTACATTTTTTTGATTCAAATGGATATATTCCTTTACAATAAACCAATATTTGTAATCATTATGACTGAATTTTATTTTACGGAAATATAATAATTTATGTGTACAGTTTTTGCAATCAACAGACATTTTACAATGATTTAGTTTGGTCGAAAACTTGAAATGTTTATTTGTAGTAGTATACTCATTACATTAAATATGTGCCTACATACATTAAATATGTGCCAAATAGTGATAAAATTTTCTTTGTGTTCCAGTCAAAATGGAAGTTGGGAGACCATTTTTAGCAAAAGCTCTGAAAACATTTGTGAAAATGAGTTCAACTGTTGCAGACGTATTGTGCAGTTGTGTCGCGATTGTCTGTTAATTGTTTACCAGTTTGCTGCAGAGGCCAAGTCGTCCAGTCAGCATAACTCGGAAAACACAGATCTGAGTTCCACTGGGTATGTAACACACATCTTAATCAGGTCTAAACATTGTATGGAGAAAGCAAGGAACATCAGGATTTTCCTTTAAAACACTCATGAGGTTAATAAACAGAACACTCATGTTACCCTTAAACAGAATACTGTGTACAGGGTTATTTTCGCCCCGTGTTATTTTCGTCCTTTCACACTTGGGAAAAACTTTGCCCTGTTTTAAATTTGCCAAGTCACAATTCTGTTTAAGAAATTATACTGTCTTCTTTGCATTCACCCTGTCTTAAATTCGCCCACTTGTGTCTAGGGCGAAAGGGGCAAAAATAAAGCAGAGGCAAAAATTTCCCTGTATACAGTAGTAATACATGTATGGTATTGACAACAAAATTAGATTATTTTGTTTGTGTTTCAGAAGTTGTTTTCAATTCATACACTCATATAGTAAAGTAAAACCATAAAGGAGTATGAAACTTATTTTTGAGCAGTGAAGTAATTTAAATCATGAAATTTTAATGTTTTGCTCTTCATTCTTTTGACTGTTAATATGAAGAAAAAAGAATTTGTTATTTTCTATGCAATTAAGTGATTTATTAGCTTTCCGCTAGTAAATCATAAAGATTCTGTTGTAATATTGTGGTTAAAGTATGCTTTCTGCTAGTAAATCGTAAATATTCTGTTGAAATATTGTAATTATTTTCTATACAATTAAGCAAGCTTTCTCTAATTCTCTAAAATTTTGTAAATGTAATATTGTGATTATTTTCTCAGAACCTTATCCTCCCGAGATAAATCCTCCTCGACTGTGATGGCCCTCCCAAGTACGCAGACCATGAGCCAGCGGTACTCCAAGCTCTACCCCCGCGCTGACACCACCGCCACCTGATGGCCACCGCCTAGCTTATCTCCTCATTTTGTGCAATCACTTCTTACTACATGTATAAGAACAAAGACATACCTTTACCTTTTGTTAACTACCTTGTTGTGCTTGTTGTTGCTAATAAGTGTTGGAAATTAACTGTTATTTGGCTGTGTTAATATCTTTCAAACGCCCATTCAAAGACAGGAATTTTGCATTGTTATTGATTTTTTTTCCGATGAGTTTGACTTTTTTGTTGACTTTTGAATTTTATGGCTTTTTGGGGGGCAAAATGTCTCCATGACTTTTGGATAAAATTACTTTTAAAAACATTTTACTAAGGTCTGTAATTTTATAAGACTATATATTTTTTACGCTTTGTAAATTTTAATTTTCATAGAATATTTCATAATATTTATTACTTCTTGATAAAGTTAGGTATATTATCAAATCTATTGCATCGTTGAATTTGACAACATTGTTTAAGTACTATTTATTGCAAGAATAATATATAATTCTGCTTAGTAGGAACAATATTCAGTTTCTTTCTTTAGATTATATGTATTATAATAGTTTTATTTTGAACCCCCACCCCCTTTTTTTAAATAGTAATTTAGATTATTTCTGGTGCTCATGTTATAAATAATAAACATATACCTGTACTCCTGAAAAATATTATTGTAAGTTTATAAGTAGGTTATAATTGCCAAAATGAAAAAAAATAATACTCCAAGATTTCTTTTTTCCATTTCAAATGAAAAATATTAAATTTAAAAGGAATAAGTGTACTTTATGTTAGAAAAGATGTTTTTCATTAAATAATAATGCAAACAAATAAAAATTTTATTCCAAAAGATAATTCAAACTAGTCACTCTGATATAGTAAAAAAAAAAATGGCCCATAGTAAAAATATAAATGGCCATATCTTTGGCTATACATGTTCAGTAAAATCACTTAAAAATTTGCAAATTTGAATGTTACTATCTTATTGCTGATCGATGCAATACTTACTGGAACAGTTGTTGTTCTGAAGAATTACAAGTAATACCATAACCTAGTGCATGTACATTGTATATTATGCACAAGATTGGCAACAGATGGTCAGTGAATTTACCTTGACATGTATATTTGTTACCTAACTAAATTTTTATGCTTATATATAGAGAAATTATGGGGTTGCTGTAATTTACAAACCTCTTTAACTTAAGGCTGCTCTTTTTTTCAGTTTTGCCATTTGAACATATCTGGGTATGATATTCTTTTTTTCATAATTCCACTTTGCCGCTTCAGTTTTTGATGATATGAAAAAATGTGTATGTTTGGTGACAACTTTTCCCATTTTCCCTGGCCTCTATAAACTTGTGAATGTTAATTGTACTTTAAAGGGATGTTGATTTATCTTGACTTAAACACAGCAGGAAATGGTTTTTCCCTCAAAAGGATGATTTGCTACTTTAGGTAACCCAGATTCAGACTTTCCTTCTTTGAGAATAAACTGGTGAAAAGATCACAATTAAATGCAAAGATCCACTGCATACTGAATTCTGGGTAATTTTCGCCCCATGTTATTTTCGCCCTTTCAAACTTGCAAACTATTTTGCCCATTTTTAAATTCGCCCAGTCACAATCCTGTTCAAGAAATTTATACTGTGCTCTTTGAATTCACCCTGTTTCAAATTCGCCCACCAGTGAGTAGGACGAAAGGGGCGAAAATAAAACGGGGGCAAAAATTTCCTTGTATACACTGCAGTGCTTTAATTACCTGTTTTTCTTCAACATCTTGCGACCATGAGCACCAGCTGCTAGTATCTGTCCTTTTTAGTTTTCAAAATCAACCATATATAGTCTATTGATATTATTACTATTTTTGTTTTCTAAAAGCTTTGTCCTTGTTTGTGTCAAACTTGGACTTTAAATTATAGTTCTTCTATATTAGTACCATGTAAGCAATAAAACCAAATATTGTATTAGCACATACATGTATAATTATTGGCTTGCATTATGTTAGTTTTTCAACCTTCCCTGTTAATAAATAATGATGAATATATGAAATTAACAATAGCATAACCCAGTTAACTTGGACTGTCAGAAAATAACAATATCTAGCTTTGATACGATTGAAAAAGTGCTATATTTGTGCCAATGCAGTGGGGACTGCAAAGCATGTTAATTACACGAGACAATTAAATGAGTTCAAACATAATTAAATTAATACACCACCACTAATAAACCAACCAAATATCCATCAAAGGCAAATGCAGTTTTGTTCCAGGTTGTTCTCAAAATACCTGTACATGCAGTCTACTGCTTATTGTTATAAAAGCTCTGTGATATCCACTGTATTGATGTTTTTTTTTAAAACATTTTAGTGATGTTTTATTCTACCTTACATATTTTAACAGAAGATGTTTTTCTTCTGTTAGCATGCATTTTGTGATTTTACACAATTCCTCATTTTAGCATGGATTTTCTTTGTATTCAACTTGTTCAAGTTTTTTTTATTGATAGCTTTGAGAATGTGAACAAATGATCAGTCTCCATACACAAGTACTGTAAAGTTTGTGGACAAATAATTTGTTTGACAAAGTTGGGCTTACATACTTTATATGCTTAAAAAATCAAACCACCTTCTGAATGATTTAGCTCAAATGTTCCTATTGTTAGTTGTGACATTATAGTTATACAGACTTACACCTCATAATAAATATTTTTATGACAAATATTTTGTTTTTTATTTAAAACATTGTCTCTAGAAATTATTACTCATGCAACAATTCTAGTTTGGAGGAAAATTAGTTCAAGTTTATATTTATAGTCTACTTGAGATATAGTATTTCCTTTTAAAGACTCCAGATAACAATGGATACCCAGGTTTTAAAAATGTACATTAGAATTTTTAAATATTGACACATACTGAAAGTTTATAGGGCAGTTTCTGTGATATTCAAGTTCTGAAGTACCAGTGCTAAAACTGATTTACCTCCCTTTAGGTATAGACAATGAAATGAAGATGTTACAGTCGATAGAGATTTCAATTACAAAGAAGATTTCTACATAATATTTACATTTCCAAATATTTTTCCTTAAGATTCTTTGCAAATTTGAAAAAGTTCAGGTTCTCATGAACTGCAGTGGGATGGGTAAGAATATTTCCATTGTGACATAATTGAAGTCAAAATATAGTGCAAACTTTTTTTTTTCAAAAATGATACATGTAGTTGAATGACAAAAATATGTGGCAAGTCATTAGAAAAATAATGTAAATATATGAATTTCATGTTTTTGACCAGTTATGAATTCGTGCCTGCATATTTATGAAGCGCTAACGTGCTTCATGAGATATGCCGGCGTGAAGCGTTGTAGTTCATGTCCTCATGAATTCTCAAAAATTAAATTTATTTCTTAAATTAAACCAAATGGATTGGAATATAGACTGTCATAATTTGATAAACAGCTGAACAATTGTTATTTGTAAGATGTGTAATTTACTAGTACATTTCTTGGCATCTGTAGCAAACCATTAAAATTTTATTAGTTTTAACATGTGCAATGATTATTCACCAATTCAAGGGAGTTAGACGGGGGGGGGGGGGGGGGGGGGGGGGGGGGGGGGCACTAATTTTGTCTTTATAGGGTTGGTTTTTGTGGTATAGATGTTCAATTTATTTAATGGGTTTTATTTTTTTGAATAAGCATAGACAGAAATTTGTAAACTTTGCAACTGTGTCCAGGCCCCTTTAAAAAGAAAGAAAGACAAATAGACAAATAGATGTGGGCTTGCTTGTTTTTCTGCAATCTATCACCACTTCTCTGCTCATTTGAATGAGCTGTATTTTATAAATTCTAAAAAAAAGAAACAAACATGGAAGTCCTCATATACCTTTTTCCAAGCTACTAGTATTTTAAGTCCAAATCAAAGTAGCTCGTTAAAGAAACATTTGCCTTCTGATTCACTCTGAATTCATTAATGTTTTCTTTCTTTTTTTTCTTTTACTTTATTTAAAGTTGTCTCCTTTAATCACATTTTTAAGTAAACCAACACATTTTCAGATTATTTACCACTGAATTTATTTTACAAAAAAGTATATTTTATACAAATTTCATAACAATAACAAAAAAAATAGAATATTCCGACAATCATAATGTACATGTATGTATTAAATGAAAGGGATGACCCATGTCATCATTTCAAGGTGATGTGTAAAATAGTACATTTTTTTTAAATGAGTTCTGCCCTTTTACATTTATTTTAATCAAATGGTCAAGAGATAAAAATGAGGTAGATTTTTTTTTCTTTTGATTTTGGATAAGCTTACATTAATCAAACAAAAAAGCCCAGAATTTACAGGTTATTTTAAAAGTGTCTTTTTGAAAAAAAGTGACACTATTCAATTTGTGGTACAGTGATGATGAATATCTAATACATAAAAAACCCTGATTTTATGTGACCTTATCAAATTCTTGACTTAAACCTTCCAACTTTCTAAAAATTAAATGAACTATGAACAAAATACATAAATAAGTGTCAGTGACGTATAGTATAACCAGTCATGTGTAAATCTGCCATAGTTTGTTTATGAAAACTTGTCATGAAACTCTTTGATCGCTGAGGTAGAAATGCCATTAAAATATACATTTGTAAAACTGATCAATAAGAAACACCATTAAATTGATAAATATGAATTCTAACATTTTTCACATACAATTCTGAAAAATTTATACTGATGTACTTTTGATCTCCTAACAAATGACAAACTTTTATTTCCACTGGGAATAAAGGTCAAAGGTACATTGAAATTGTTTTAAATATTTGCTATATGTTTGTCAGAAAAAAATCATTTTTAATTTTTTTTTTTTTACAGAAGACATTAAATATTTCAACATTTAATTCCAATGGTACAAGTTTTATATGATGATTTCGGCTCCTGTTTCAAACACCCCTTCCTCCTCCTCTTCTGACAAGGTCATGTCAAGGTTACTAGAGCTAAAGTTTTCCTGAGGAAAAGCACTGTCCCCAGACTCACTACAGTTATACCAAGCTCTGCTTCTAGGGGTATCAAGTTTATCAAACTCCACATGCATCATATCTTCACTTTCCTCTGTAATTCTTTCATGTCGTGAGACAATAGAACTTGGGGCTTTAGGATATTTCCTTCTGGAATGAAAAACTTTCATGTATTTACATACAGTACAGTCAGTGCAATCTGAACTGGCCAGGGACATTGAATGGCGACTGTTTTTGGCCAGCACTGTAACAGGTAGTTGATAGTCTGATGTATGGTCCGTACTGTACCCATCAGAGTACCACTCCTCCAAACTCTGGGCAGATATTGGGCGAAATGCAAAAAGAGGATGAACTGAATTTTTGTCAAAAACAGGATTGTCAATGCCCTTCAGGTTGTCCCAGCTTTCAGTCAGTAACTTTTTCTTGTCTGAAGCCTGGATTCCTTGTGGAGGAAACTGAATAGAGAGTTCACTGATGATGGAATCTTCACTTGAGGTCATGTGATGAGTTTCAGTTGTTGAGGCATCCGTATCAGATTCACAACACACATTGTCCACAATGTCTGCATCAACAAAATGCCGGTGACTATATGTCCCTGATAACTGGATAGGGACCTTCCGTGTCTTTTTGCCAGTTGAGTTTGATTTTTTAGAAAGTTTAGATGATGCAGTGGTTGAGGAACATGTTTCCCATTCTGACATTGAGTCTATGTATGAGTCCTGTAAAAGATTCTTGTAATAGTTTCCATCATGCAGGGCTTTCTGATATTGGCTTACCCATCCTGCACTGAATGGTCTTTGGAGTAAGTGACTATGCTTTGCACATAAACTGAGTTTACAATTGATGCAGCCATCTTGAACACATACTTTGTCTTTTCCATAAAGTGAGATTTTCATAGATGGTATGTGGAAGAATCTGTAGTATACTAACATGGAAATGATGGATATGATACATGCAAAACCATTTATGACAACTACGATTTGCATTTTGAAGTTGTTTGTGTCTTGTGTTGTAAAAAACCATATCACAGTCAACAAAGAGTTTTCAAGGAACATAATTGTGTAAAAAGTTATGTAATGAAATTTGGTCTTTTCAACACTCATATTCACATGGCAGAAAATGTAAATATAGGACACAAGACCACTCATGATGAACTTGTGTCCTTTGTTCATGCCCACCACATTCACATTTCCAAGGACAGAAGAGCAGACACAACACATCATGGTGATCCAGTGGAGACAAATCACTAGGAATATCCATGAAAAATAAATGCTGGCAAAAATTCCCAAAGATATCACTCTGGAGGTGATTTCTCCAAGTCTCCATAATAAGCGAAATACTGTTCCTGGCCAAGTAAGGACAACATTCTCAAAGTCACTTGAGTCGTATTGCCTCCTAAAACTGGCAAGACCCCAAGAGATGGAAATTAAATTGATTGCTAGAGCACAATGAACAATCCATGAATTGTTTGAGGTAATTATCATAAAACCCTGGATGGTCAAAATGGGAAGACTGGCCGAAAAGGTGTAAAACAGGCGAAGAAGTGATAAATCTGCAAAGTCACGTTTCTTGGTTTTAATATCAGATTCCAACAGAATCTTAAGGTGTCTCCATGCAAATCCAAGCAGGAAAATGTGCAATAAAACTGGGACAGTTTTCCCAGATTTTGTTTTATCCTCATTCTTTTTCTGGAGAATCAACAAAGCGGACACAAAGTGAATAGTTACCAGTGGCAACACCAGCAGTCCAGTCACTATGGTGAACCATGTCAGTGAACGGCTTTGATAAATTTCTGCCAGAAATACTGTATTCAGGGTCAACTCTCCCAAATGAAATATTAGGGAAAGTACAATAAACAGCCCAAAACAAAAGGATAAACACATTTTGTCACATTTCACATAATTTGTTCCAAGTTTTTGCCTCACTTGTAATTCCTGTTGAAGTGTTTTAAGGCACAGACCACAAAAACTTCATGGTGTCTTAAAACATCATCATCTAACCACTGACAAAAGTAAGTGACCTTCTGACAAGGAAAGGATTTAATTTACAATTCCTTTATGCTGCTCTTGTTTGGGGTGAAGGAATCCAGAAAGATCTGAAAAAGAGTTAAAAGAGATGTTAAGATTTGTTGCAATTCACAAAACAGTCTCTGACGTGTGACAAAGTTGGATCTGATTTCTCCGAGATGGAGAAATTTTTAACATTATCTTGAAATCTCTCCTATTGTATGTACCCCAAAAAATAGTTTTGAAAATGCTGATAAAAACACATTTTTTTTTCTTCATTTCAGAACTTTTTGTATGCATAATCACAATAGGAAATGAAACTATGTCAATGACTATGCATAAATAATTTAAGTGTATTGCTTTAAAATGACACAGATCAATTACACTTAGAATTTGAAAAATGATGTATCTATATCAATTGATGATAAAAAACGCCCACAGATCTTAAAAAGAATACTTGTTCTTTCTGATATAATTGAAAATTACAACGAAAGAGTAATAAAATAATTGTGTCAAAAATGCATCAATTTAGGTAAACCATTTTAATTTGCATGAATTCAATATATAAGTTAAGTAAATTTCATCAAGTATTACAGTTATTATCTTATTAGTGCTGGAAAACCAATTCAGCTTTGTCGAAACTAGACCAAATCTTTACTTGTGTTTACGTTGGACTTTTTTCTCACCATTTCCCAAACATAAAAGGAAAAAAAAATCTATACTCAAGTTCGTAAACTTGACAAGATGATTATTCCGTACCTACTCTATGTGTGTGAGAAGCTACAATTGTCTAACAACAATGCGATTTCTCTCCTTCCCAGAGTAAATTCAACACCTAAGGTCCTCTGAGTCTTGTGTCTACATGGACCACAACAATAGGACATTTCTGATCACTTTTACAAACACTGTACATGAAAGCTGATATTTTTCCATTTAGATTATTTTACGACAAAATATGTCACCTTGATGAAATGAAAGTCTTGCTTTCCAATCTTTTACTATATCAAATATCACCAATAAAAGACTAAAATCCCTTGTGGAATCTTTAATCTATCTGTACATAAATATTCATTTTCTTCCATATGCGTAGAAAATTTTGTTTGCCACATTCTCAGTGATGGAGGAAGAAAAAAGAATAAAAAAAATTGGGATACAAAACTAATGGTTTCACAACTATACCTCCAATTTCCATTCCTTGAACTGAATCAGAAAAACATTATATTTGTTGATTCTCCTCGGTGATTATTATTTTATCTATAAATAACAATATATCCAATTCATAGGTTTTCTAATGCTCATTCCTCAAAGTTGACATTTTCATTTGCAATTTCAAAGAATACTGACCTTAATAACTGAAATAGCTCTCTCTGATTTTATGAATTTCCTGAGTGGACTTAACACATCAACTTTCAGCAGGTGTCAGGTCATGAAATTTGAATTACATACCCACCTTCTTAAATCAAAGCAAATATCCAATGCTTGATAAAGATAAAGCAGTTGCTTCTCCACTCAATTCACAGGGGAACACCAATAGCACAAAGGTATGTGTTTATTATTTCACTGGGGATTAGGAGGAAATTATTTCTTAAGCTCTTAAAATGTCCCCTATACTGGCCACACAGATTACCTGGCAGAAAAAAATCCCCTGTTCAGTACAATGGACTGCACTGAATTTCTTATAGAGCCTTTTTAATCAGGATTAAATGCACAATAGAAAATCTATAGAACATGTTGGTCAAGTCTCTTACTGGAAGCCCATCACATGAATCCCAATTTTTATATTCCTAACCAATCTTTTACCTTTATTCGTCTGTTGCCAAACTGTGATAATCAACACTATATTCCACAGGAATCAATTGATCAATCATTTATGTACAGGTGAATTCAAATTGACACAAATAATTCCCAATGATGAATGGGTACACATTGATTGCTGTTCACAATCAAAAATAACCTACCTATTGTATGCCGCCAGTCTCTGCCTGGTCTACTTCAGTTTCAATATTTTCCCTTCTCCAACAAACAAGTGACCTGAATCAGTCGAACTACACAAATTCACTCCTTTATTCTGCAAGTAGAAAAAAGGAGTTGATTGTGTTAAGGATTACAATAAATTCCAATATCAGCTATGTTTAGCTCATTCTCAACATAATTGGCTGAAAATCTTCTTTTGGTCGAGAGTGCTTGAGGATATTTTATCTCTTCCACAATGTTAATTACAGTCTTAGCAATTTAAATGTACAATTGTTGAAAATGGTTGACAGCAGATGAAAGGGAAACAGATTTAAAAAGAATTGTTTGTACTTCTTTTGAAGCTTGACAAATGAAATTTTCCTGTGAAATATTTTGGGAGTGTTTTAGGCACAATAACAGAATATTATGAAGAGGCACTGTAAATGGAGTCAAAAATTGGCATGCATTAAAGAAGAAGATATTTGAAGAGTTTACATTTTCTAAATTTCTTTTCTTTATAAATCTATCATATAAATTTAAACACATTGTTACCTGTTTGTACTAAAATTCCAAATTCCCTGATTGACTTGTGATCACCCATATTTGAAGAGAAAAAAAGGTGTAAAACAGAAATAAAACATCCCTGTCAATAGTTTTGAAGCCTAGAGGACATGGCCGATCTATGTATTTCCTTCTATCAAAGAAAATAGATATGGCAAAAACTCTTGACCTGCTTTTTGCCTCACTATCACGTCATTTATAAAATATTTATCTTGAATATCAATTTCTTTTATATCTCCTTTTACTTTAACAGTGGAAAAGCTAATTACACTTCTAGTTTTCTACTCCTTTACAACCTACAGAGCCTCGCAGTCTGATATCACCCCCAGAAATTCTGGACCAGGTTTCCTACCTTTCACAACTATCACTTATCGGGGACCCTACACCGAATACTTTATTCAGAAGATGGTCGCTGGTCTTCTTATCAAAGACAAATTTTTATCAAATAGTGCTCAAGTTATTTTTACGTCAAAATGATATTCCTTTGTCATTCTGAGTATGACAAATAAGACCCTACCCTTCGTATATACACAGTATCCATTTTCTTCTCAACATTTTTAGTAAAGCTCTTTAGTACCAAGTTGTGTTACTTTTTCAGCTAAGATACTCCAAGTTATAAATGAATTTGAAGAATTTTCACTGCTTTGTTTATTTTTAAAAATGGTAACAAGAAATTTTAGATTTAAAGATGGAATGTATCATTTTTAAAAGACAGTCATACAAAATCTTTCTTGATTACAAAAAATTCAGCATTTAGATATAATGATTGGTGAGAAAATAATAGATATATCACTGAGATGTTAAAGGGCACCACTTTTTAGTAAAGTAAAAGTGAAAGAGTAATATATTTTATTTATTTTATTACATGAATATTATATAATTATTTCTTTCAGTGACTCGATCAATATTCACACATTATCATCATATCGTTTTTATACCCCTTGCTTGAAAAGCGGGGGGTATATAGTGAGGGGGGTGTCTATCTGTACGTCTGTAACACTTCGGGGGACCCGTCTCCTCCTATACATGTACCACTGAATAAAATTTAATGAGACTTTCACAGAATCTTTATTACACAGTGCCATTGTGCACCTTGTGTCTTACATTTCAGATTTGGGTGTTTCTAACAGCAAAACACGAACACTGTCATTCTTTCTATAACATTAAGGGTACCAATCTCTTATCCATAAGTACTCCTGTACAACTGAAATATAAGATGGGTACCCCCTTATGTCATAGAAAGAATGGCGGTGTTCATGTTTTGCTATGGGAAACCCCAAATATCTGTCCAATTGAACTGTGAAATACCCGTTAGAAGGTGCAAAATAGTACCATTTAATAAAGATTCTGTGAAAGTATCACTAAATTTTATTCACTGGTATAGGAGGAGTTGGGATGAGAAATGGTACCCACAAGTGTTACTGGCATGCGGACATATGGACAGACAGACACCCCCACCACTATATACTCCCGTTTTTAATAAAGAATAAAACGATGATTGGAATTAAGCTTAGATTTTGGAGAGGACCATTTTTTTCAGTGTTAAGGAAAAAAATGCTATTCATGTTTTTTTTTTCTCTCTTTTCAATGGAAAATAAGTAAAAGAAAAAAAGAAAGAAAACTCTTTAAAAATTTTGATAAAATGTACAGCATATTGTTGAGTCTATGACAATCAGAATTATATGTAACTGAAAAATTAATCATATAAATTTTTCAAAAATCTTTTAGAAAGGAAGTGTACAATGATATGTAAAAGAGACAAGACAATAAAATAAATGTTACTGAAAATATATATGCTACACACAAGGATTTTACACAAAGGTCTGCTTTGATCTTGAATTGTAACCTTTAAAAACAGAGATCTGCTATGACCTTAAATTCTGATCTTCGAAACTTTGTACAAAGTAAATGCACAGCCATTACCCACAAACTCTCTATGCGTGAAGCACGAGCCAGAAATGGTCATGGGGAGAGAAATATGCTAATGGCAAGGATTTTACACAGAGAGCTGCTATGAACTTGACTTCAGATCTAGGAAGAGGCTATAATGCCCCAAAATGGCCCATGAAGAATATTAACAGTTTTAATAATGTTGGTGACATAAACTTCTTTGTGAAGTAGCCTCTTCCTCTTTGTTCAAGGTCACTGCACACCCTTTACTCACTATGGGTGAAATGTAAGCCAGTCATGACCATTAGGGGAAGGCAAATACCCTCCCTACAAGGATTTTACACAGAAATGCTTTTTGACCTTGATCTTTGATCTATAAAATTGGTTCCAGGTCATTGTACATCTTTTAATAAAGGGCCCTCTGTGAATATATTGCAACCAAGAGATATCAGCTAGACACATGGATGGACAGACTGATCACAATAGGGTACCTGTAGAGCAGGACCTTGATAAGCAGCATTAAGTAACAACTAATAATTATATTTCATAACAAATAAAATATTTTTAAGGCTTTAAAATGACTTTCAAGATTAATATGTAACACCAGTCTATTGAATTTTTAAAAACTTACATCTCCTTTGCATCAAGAAGTAAAAGTCTCACCTTTTGAGATTATAAACATCGGCACAAATCCAAATCTAGCAACTTATATACCTTGATCCGATTTATACTTTCTTATATGATTCAGCAATAAAATGGCTAATGCCTGTGTGAACTTCAAGCTACAGTTACGTTCTGTCAAATCTATATCTTCACATTCAATGAACCCATTGCTGCCAACTTACTTTTGACTCAATGCTAGGGTAGCATATCTCAATGCAGGGATCATTCTCCATTTTTCAATCAGACTTAAGCCTCTTCAGTTAAGGGAGGGGTAGTTGTTATTTCTTTATTAGTTTCAATCCAAAGGACAAAGCCTCTTTTGGTCAGCTCCTATTCAAGTGAAAATTCCCAATCCTCCATAGATATCTTGAGAGGATACAATTTTCTATTGCAATGCTTAGTGATGTTCTTTTTATTACCGATACATAGAACCTTGCTGAAAAAATAATGAGCACTGGAAACTTTTGAATGCCTTTTTTTCGGTACTAGTATAATGGGGATAAATTCAGTTTGAAACAATATCATTAAAAAATCTGATTGAAAAAAAAAGTGTTTATATAAATAAATACACACTTCATTTTATTGCAAGGGGGAAGGGGGGGGGGGAAACTAGACTTAAAATGAATTCAGTCTACTTACCAAGATTTATGACCAACTTTCCAGAATTGCTGCAGTATAGGTATACACTCCAGGTTTTTCACAAATCATGACTTCGTTTAAAATTCCATCAAAAGAAATGATTAGTAATCATTTATGACATTGAAATGTGAAGTAAATCCCATTCATTAGTAACAGCAGTGGTATAATTTATACATGCTGTGTCTAATTGCTCAAGTATTGTTAATTATTGTCGTTGTTAACAAGCTTTGTTAATTAATGTCCTCCAAAAATGAAAAGGTGGATCAGGCAAAATAACAAAGATCAAAGAAAAACATTATTTTAACTTGATCTTGTGTACATAAGGTATTATGAATCATAATTTAAACATTTAAGCATATTTTATCTCAACACATTATACTGTACATGTCATAGTAAGAGCTGGTGCTAAAAAAAGTGTGCTTTAATTATCTTGTAGGCACTGAAAGTTAATCCTTAAATAATTTATGAGTAAATTAAACATAATTTACCTAAAGAGGGTCAAAACTGTTATTTGTGTATATTAATTAAAGTAAGTACTCTAAATATAAAGACATCCCATCTGAGTGTGGCATATGACCAGTAGAAGACATAGCTCTGCCTTTTTCAAGTTGTAATACATCTAAAAGTAGTTTGTGAAAAAAAAAAAAATCAGCTTTGTTGCCATACAAGTTATCCCCCTTGACATCTACTTCTGAAATCTACCAAGTCTGCACGTGGGTTTCAACATGTATTACCTTTGTATATTAAAAGATTTACATCTGACAATGTTTTATAAGTAACCATGCTAGTAAAATTTGTGATTACATCTCTGTAACTGTAATTAAGGCATGTCGAGGGATCTCTGAAGTATTTTTGTTGTATTTGGTTGTAATTATAAAAGAGAGCATGGCTGAATATTATTTAGGAAAGAGATAAAGGCCACATGAGGGAAAGCAATGAGAATGAATTATTTCATTATATTTCTTGTTTTTGTATAAATCATAATATAACCAACATTAGTGATATTTCCTGGATGAGCAGGTTTGCCACTAAGATGAATAATATTGTGCTTCAGTATCGATTATCTCCTCACAATCAAAAATAAAAAATACAATTATTCCTGAAGTTTTGAGTATTTAAACATAATTTAAATTTTACACCTATCTTTGTCAAGTTGACATATTATTGATTTAGAAAACAAAAATGGAGCATTTTTAGATTTTTAGACTTGATAAATATAAATGTATAAAACCTTGTCAAGATGAACTAAAACTTACAATTCTTACATTGACCCATGTAGGAGGCTGTATAAATTTACATGCACAAAGACGCTCCCTGATTAACATTCTATCTATTTCTGCAATGCCATACAAGTTATCCCCCTTGACAGAATATAATCTTAAAATCTAGGTACTAGTAATTCACAAAAATCTTTATGCCCCTGTAATTGGAGATTTGGGGGCATATAGTGTTTGGTCTGTCTATCTGTTTGTCAGCAAAAACTTTAACTTGGCCACAACCTTTTGAACAGTTGGTGCTAGGGCTTTCATATTTCACATTCATGAGTATTCTTTGTGATAAGACCTATCTTTAGGTACCAACATTTGATTTTGACCAATCTTTCTAAAACTTTAGCCTTGGGCATCACTGTTGAATTGTTGGTGCTTATATGCCTTTCAAATTTCACGTTTATTCCTTGTGACCTTTCCTTGGTTACAAACATTTTTTACCTTGGAGTTTGACCTACTTCTGAAAAAAACTTTAACCTGGCCCTAACCTCTGAACTGTTGGTGCAAGGGTTCTCATATTTCACATGAGTATTCCTTTCCTTGAAACAAAATCTTTCTCTGGTTACCAAAATTCTTGACCCTATGACCTTGAAATTTGACCTTTTGAAAAAATTTAACCTTGTTGATTAAAGTGTTTTAGGTTTTACAATAATTACTCAACATATGATTTAATGCATCAAAATATATTATATTGATGTGAGTATAATACACTTCTTTACCAGAATACAACTAAGTCAATGAATGTTTATTATATAATTAAATTTGGTCTAACAAAGTAGGCTTGAAGTACAGTTTGAGCAATTTCATGCATGCATATTAAGACTTCATTAATTTAAGTGCCACTTTGTCAAAATGAGCTAACATTTACATTGATCAATATTCATAAAAACAGGACTGTTGTATCAGCACAATAAAATACACCCCCCTTTCAAATTAATTTCAAAGTCAAGGTCAGATGGCACACAGTCTTTTCTGATAACTTTCATATTCTAATCATTATAAGCCTTGGTCTAAAGAAGATTTTTTTTCACTCTTCCAGTTCATACAAAATTATCTCATCAATAAAACTATAACAAGAGGCAAATGGGCCACAATGCTCATGAGTAACCTTAGCCCTTTTGTTCTTCTGAGAATTTTAAAACAATTTTTCCTCCTTTTTTCCCCATGAAAATTAGTAACCTCGTATTGTGACCCCACCTTAACTTTAAGGGGTCTCTGAATCCACAGAATATGGGGATAATTCAATATCAATATGACTCACATGGCTATGTCATTATGGAGAAGGTTTTTAGTATACAAGGACTTATCTCGTAAAATTTGATCACTGATTTCAGTCCAACCCTTACCTGGTCTGTAATATGAAACAAGAGGCCCAAGGTCCTTAACAGTCACCTGAGTAAAATACAACATTGTAAAGGATCCATAGAATGGCAATACAACAAGAGGCCCAATGGCCTTAACTGTCACCTGAGTTTAATACAACACTGTACATGATCAATAGAAGTATAAAACAAAATTAACTGATAGAATACCAAAAAATGATTAACTAATAGAATACCAAAATCTGGTAAAAATAGCCTTGCTTATTGCAACATGCGAGACACAGGAGATCTCCTTGAGGTCATACTTGATTTGTCCAAGTCTTACAAGGATGATAATGAATGCAAAATATACAATGGACACCTGTCTAGTATACACGTAAGGTATTCAGTATATATATAAGAGATGTTTTTGTCACCTGCCTAGTGCTACAATTAAAGAGAAATCTCTAATGGAAGGGAAGGTCCTGTCACAGGGAATACATGTGTAATATAAAAGCACTAGCTCAAACCATTCAAAATTTATTGCCAAAGGTTAGAGTTCTGGAAACTTGGGGGGGGGGGGGGGGAGAAAAAAACATCATTTTTCCTTCCCCATTTGACCCCTAGGGTGAAAATGAAAATTCTGAAACCTTATTGCATATCCAGATGACACCAGAAATATCTTTCAAAAGTCAATTTGGCTATTGCGTAAAATGTAAGAGTAGGTCTGGGAATCAGGGGGTTTTTTTTCTAGAAAAAATGTCCTTTTATGACCCTCATTTGACCCCTAGGGTAAAAATAAAAATTCCGAAACCTTATTGTACATCTACAGTACACCTCAATTCATCTTCCAAGAGATGATTTGGCTACAGCTTAAAATGTAAGAAGAATTCAGGGAACCAGGTTTTTTTTTTGGTGGAAAAAACATTTTTCGACCCTCAGGGTGAAAATAAAAATTCGAAAACCTTATTGCACATCTACAGGACACCACCAACCATCTTCCAAAAGATGATTTGGCTAACTGCATTAAGTGCATCAAGAGGAGTTCTGGCAACCAGGTTTATTTTAAAAAATGTCATTTTAGCAAGTTTCATAGATTACCAATGTCCAATAAAGTGATTAAAGGAAACCATTACAATCAATATAGTTATTGATACCATGTATAATCCACCATTATGAACATTTCAGATGTAAAAACAATGATGTGTTCAAGAAACATAGATGACGAAACTTTCAATTTCATAGGAAGTACATTGCATTAGATTCAAATGAAAAGTTTGCCATTTACCATACACTTGTCAAATCAATCTGTTAACATGTACTTTTTGCCCCTCTCAAAAAAGGGGGCATATTGCTTTGCATCATCACATATTTTTATTATTTTCATGGTATGAATGATAAATTCCATGTCCCCAATCAATTGTTAACATTTAATTCTTCAGTATTATGCATCTTCCTCAACTATGAAATCAAATCCCTTAGAATCAATATTTTTTTCCTCAAACTTCAAAAATTTGACCCCCACAGAAATAAATGATTTAACAGTATCCTGAGAACTTTTGCTTGACAGACATCAAGCCAAGTACATTGGTCCCTCTTAATTTGATGACCCTTACTGATTTTGAAATCAAGATCAAACTGGATATATACTGATTGCTCAATATCTTGAGAACCCTTTGCTTGACAGACATCAGACTTTGTACACTGGTTCCCCCTAATGAGCAGATGTTTGGGTGTGGTCACAAGGTCAAACACGACTATGAAGACATTGTCAGCTCAGCATCTTCAGATCGGTTTGATTTGATCAATTTCAACAGATTTAGTACACAGGTATCCCTTAAAAAATAAAAATGCCTAAGGATATTGAAGTCTGATCTCTATCAGACTTGGAATTGTATTGCCCCTGATAACCAATTTTTTTTCACTATCATTACAGACACTCAAAATTTATGGTTGTTCCCTTTTCAGCTCACCTGAGCCGAAGGCTCAAGTAAGCTTTTCTGATCGAAATTTGTCCGTTGTCTGTCGTCCGTGTAAACTTTTCACATTTTCATCTTCTTCTCAAGAACCACTGGGCCAATTTCAACCAAACTTGCCACAAAGTATCCTTGGGTAGAGGAGATTCAAATTTGTTCAAATGAAGGGCCCAGCCTTCTTCCAAGGGGAGATAATTATGAATTCGTGAAGAATTAATGGCATCCTTTAAAAATCTTCTTCTCAAGAACCACTGTGCTTGAAAATATGAAACTTATGTGGAATCATTGTGAGGTAGTGTAGATTTCAGTTTATTCAAATCATGACCCCCGGGGGTAGGGTGGGGCCACAATGGGCGATCAAAGTTTTACAAAGGAATACATAAGAAAAAATCTTCAAAAATTTTCTTCTTCAGAACAACAAAGCCATGATTGGTCATATTTATATGCAAGCACTCTCAGGTGGTGTAGATTCAAGTTTGTTAAAAACATGACCCCCGGGGTGATCAAAGTTTTATATACAGTAGGAATACATAGGAAAAAATCTTCTTCCCAAAACAGCAAAGCCATGATTAGTCATATTTAATAAATGGAAGCAGCCACAGGTAGTGTAGATTCAAGTTTGTTCAAATCATGACCCCTGGGGGTAGGGTGGGGTCACAATGGGGGGATCAAAGTTTTACAAAGGAGTACATAGGAAAAATCAGCAACAGCCATTTTGTGTCATATTAATTCAAGAGCATTCCCCCTGAACCACATTTATATTTAAACTTTTCAAGACTGAACTGATTTCTGCTTTTTCCTAGCCGAAGTGCTCAGGTGAGCGATCTGGCCCCTGGGCCTCTTGTTAAGATTGCCACAAGGGGGCATATATTTCTCAAACATTTCTTCTTAATTGTAAATTCTTCTAAAGAAAATATGGAAAAACTATAAGAATAAACAGGCAAGTTTTCATTCCAATTACTCCTCTTTATCAAATAAACCTTGGAGCATAGACAATGACACAACCTGTATACAGTAAGTTATTTTTTTTTTATTTTTTTCTTTATTTCTGATTTTTTTGTTATTGACATCATTTACTTCTTGGACCTGAAGTAGTCATTGAGAACATCCAGGGCTTGGGACTCCTTTCCATAATCCTGTAAAACATATTTCAATTTAGATTATAAACATTGACATCAATCAACCTCTGTTTATTTTCAGAAGTAGCAACAACCACTTTTCATCAAACCAGAGTTCTCAAGAGTGATCTCACCTTGACTACAACACAGCTGCACCCAACCACTTTTCTGGCTTTTCCCTCTTTGTCAATTTTACAGAGACCAGCCCATTCTCCAAGCTTTTTGTTATCATCAACCTGTTTTAAAATCAGTGCATTTAATCTTCATTACATTTCTACTCCTGATAATTCTGCAACTTAGGATACAACAGCGATACTATAGTGAATTGAACTGAAGATCTCCTTCATATCAGTTACAACCATATACATCCCCATGAAAAGTAAGAAGAGGGAGCATGGTGATATCATCATATGAACAAAGTTGTCAACTCCAATTAGTTATTGTCCACCTACTACCGGTTACCTAACAAAGCCTTATCTAATCAGGATATGTGAATTTTTTGTATAGAAATTGTGGGAAGATGCAAAACAATGAATGAATGTTAAATTGTAGTGCTATCTGCCCATGCCAAATAATCAAAGATAATTCTATATATGCACAAGGTCTTCATGTGGAATTATTAAAGTCCTCCCAAGAAAGTAGTCAAAATATAAGTGCATCCAATATTGTACATGTTAATTTTTCATGTTCACGAAGTAATGGGTAAATTTGCTCCTAACACTCACAAAAAAAAAATAAATAAAAAATTCACAATTTATAAGATACAGTCATATTTCTCCTCTCACCTCTTTGTATTGCAATTCAAATGTAAGATAACAAAACCCCTGATCAATGCTTTCAACTTACTAGACAAAAATTAGTTGGTAGTATATCTGAAGATTTATTGTGCATAAAACTTTAGTTCTGATAAGAAATAACATTCCTTCTTGATATTTCTTCTTTAAATCAAATATAAAGGTAAGTTAACAAGAGCTGTATTCCATTCAGCTCTACATAGTATATATTCAAGCTACAAACTATACCGCAACAAATATATGGACATTCAGCAAATTGAAAATTCAAAATCATATCAGTTACAACCATATACATCCCCACAAGAAGTAAGAAGAGGGAGCATGGTGATATCATATGAATGAAGTTGTCAACTCTAATTATTTGCACTTCTCTCTACCAATTATTACCCAAATTAAATGTTAGCAAAATTGCCAGAGCCTTGATAACAATTTTGCAAATAAAGGTTTAAAGCTGAGCAGAGAAACTGCAGGTGACAGTGTCAAACCAATTAAAAATTTATATATATATAAAAATGTCAGAGCTCCAGATAATTTTCACCCCAAAGGGTATTTATTCCCCGATTTTCAAATCAATGCAGATTTTGATTTTCAGCAAAATGATTTAAGAGTATTTTGTTGATACACGTATATTATTGTTTTGACATCGATTTTGATTTTGAGCTTGTTATCGAAATATAAGTGTTTTAGAAGAGGAAAGGAAAAAAAACTACAAAGGACAGTTCCTGCATTTATCTAAATAAAATTTGAAAATATCAACAAGACTTTTTTGGTAAAACTGAGAAACATTCTTTTTGTCTTGAACATATTCTACTGAATAAATCAAAACGATTGGAAAGAAGTCCTTACGACTTACTAGTTCCTCTCCTTAAATATAACTATATGTCATGCTATTAAATAGTACACAGAAATATAAATTTAAAAAAAAAAACATTTTGACAAGGAAGATCACACAGTTGGTAAAGTTACCATAGGCACATAAAACTTTTCCTCCATTTAAGATGATATCGAAACGAGAGTAAACCGAGAAAAAAAAAAATCTTCATTAATATGGCAAGTTGAGAGAAATTAGAAATTGGCAATGAACCCATCCTAAAAAAAAACGTTATGTACAAACTGTGTGTCATCATCTTACTAAACTGTGAACTCTAGAGAATCTAAGAGAACTCTTGATCGGTAAATTCAAATACATGTAATGCGTAATGTCTCTCTACAGCAATTTATTTATTTAATTGGTCTTGAAATTAAACAGAGCTTGTTTTTTGATATGGTTTTAATATGGTCCTCACTGCTTTTTTTTTTTTTTTTTTTTTTTTTATACACATCATGTCCTCTTTGATCATTGCAGTATAAACTTTTTTCTCCACCTAAGACTTTTTTCTTCAACTATCATTTGTTTTCTTGGTAACATTGTTTTCTATTACTTACATATTACAATTGTAACAATATCATCTTACATAGACGACACAAGCTTTTGTGTGCTTAAAAGTACATGTAACTGTGCCTAGTCCTTCTATTTAAAGAAATCTTTTTTAATCTATATCTTTGATTCTTTCTCCCGAAATGGAAATTGTCATTCCATTACTAGAATATTCCTGGTTATTAAAATGCTTTTAAATCATCATTTCGTTTTGAGAAAAATTAAACACCGAGTTTACCTCAATTCATATCATTAGCTAAGATGTACTTGTATTATTAAACCCGTCTTACGCAGTACTTTCGTGGTGTAATGCTAACCTACGATTGCTAATAAGTAAGTGTATGCCCAGTTTTAATTTTCAATTCGCATGTTTGTGTGTCAAAAATCAGAACGTTTCACAAGATACCTTCAACAGGTTAATTCCATGCTCAGCACAGAGAGCTTCTACCAACTTTACATACATAGGTTCATCACAGTTGTTGGCAAGAATGCACAAATGGGCTTGGCGTCTGCAATAAAAAAGTCAATTTGATAATTTTTTCCCCCAAGACTTGATCATTTTCACTTTCAGGGTATGCTCCGTTTGATTTTCTGATAACTGATATTTGTACAGACTACAGTCTTCAATTCTCGCCTTCATTGATTCTGTTCATTCAAAATTAAAATCATGTATTAACGACGATGGACCTAATTCATTTCTGCAATAGATTTTTTATTTAAATTTTAATACGAGATAAAGTGACTTTGGTGAGTTAAAATCAATTAAAAAATCATATGGACATCTATGTATATTTTTTATAAGGAGCGTTTCAAAAGTTGGTGATGGAAATTGATAATTACTATAGGAAGTGATGAGAAATTGCCAGTGTACATGTAGGGTATAAGAGTGATCATTCAAAAAAAATTCTGCAATAGAATTTTTATTCATATTAAAGGACAATGTTAACAAGATAATTTACCAGCAAATTATGCCAAAAAATAAATGGGTCTTCAGCTTAGATTTTTCAGGGGGACATGTCAAACTAAGGTGTAGGGCACATTTTGGGGGAAATTTTCAATGGAAACACCTTGGCCAAATAAATCATTTATTTATAAAATTAACAAATGAATATAAATCGAAATATTTACAATATTTTTGAATTGAGATGAAACGTCTGAATATCTTTAAAAGAATTAAAAATGTATATTTTTTATCTTTTGCCATACATAATTAATTTGATTCAAGGCATATGCACGGTTTTCTGCGCAGTGGCGTGAAATTTCGAATTAGGTCTGTCGTCCTTAATATTTAAGACTTCAGAGAGAGAGAGAGAGAGAGTTTCTTGCTCTCATTCCAATTTTAACAAATATTTTCGGTTGTTTCAAACAACTTATTATACTTGTCAAGAGCCTTTGCACATTCATGAAGTCCTTTGGCAAGACCATCGTGGATCATAGCTGTCTTGAGCACTTCCTGGACAGCTGTAAATACATCCATTGACCCTCCTGACACAGTGGGAACATCATCTCTGAAAAAGATTTCAAAACTACTTATCCCTCTCCAAACACTATGAATAGTAAACTTATTGGTAAAGGCAACGTGCATTTTTTGTTGAAAGCAACAATATTTTAAGTATTAAAAATGAAGCTCCTTGGTTCTGCTTATTTTACTTTCAGAAAGATCAACAATAAAGAACTTGTTTTAATACAGATTATATATTATTTAGTAAAAAGCAGGCTACGTACCCTTCCGCATCCGACATCTTGGAAAACGGACGTCCTTCTGTAAATCAAATGATAAAAACACATTTAACAATGATAAATCTTTTTTATTAAATATTTTCAAGTAATCAAAGTCCATTATTTTTGTCGATGAAGTGCGATTTTTGGCCATCGTTTACACTTACAATGATGTTCCAAAAATATACAACGTGAAAAGGAAGTCGCAAGCTATTTCCGGTCAGACTAAAAGGCCGTGTGAAAAGTACCGAATGATTTCCTTGAAATAAAACGTTTATTTTATTTGTCTTGTAAAATATTTTATTAAAATAATTTTTGACTAATGGAAATTTGAAAAAATTTTTTTTTTGAAAAGGCGACGAAGAGACAAGACGTTATCGTGCAGTCCTTTTATATTCGTATCACACTTCGTATCAAGGTGTATAAAAAAAAAACAAAAACAAAACAACAACTATGGCTATGGTTTTTATGCTTTAAATTTAATAAAAAATAGAAACTTCTCAATAACTAAGACAAATTCAATGCCTCAAAAGTCTCCTCATCATATATGAAAATCTTTTCTATTGACTGGAGACCTGCATATTGGCGTAGACTTAACTTTTCGGCAATTAGCTCAATTCTCAAAACGGAAGTTCTAGAATTTGAGATGTAAACATGAGAAAGAAAGGCATTAAATAGGTATGTACCACTGATAATTTTATATATAGATTTATATATTTCGTGTATTGTAAGTATAAAGTATCGATATACATCGTATTAAGTTTTCCTAAGTTTTTTATTGTCAATAATTCAAACACAAGGTTCAGGTAATCAATGTAATGATTCTATGTTCATTTTGGCCTTTCACAGGGATTGGGCATCGTTATGGAAAACTTTATTATTTATAAATTTTTGCATTGAATAATTTTGTTATGAATACTTTTAACATTTGTCTGGTCTGTGATGATTTATTTACAAGAACTTGTAGTGATAATTATTTTTTTGTATTTATACATATTACACATGATTCAGAAACAATCATCCGAACAGGTTGATATCCTAAGTATGTCAGGGTAATAAAAATGTAGGTATTATAGCTGTCATTCATACTGAAGGTATGAAAATATTTGAAACAGATTACATTAACATCTTTTAGTGGATTAGTTACAGAGTAAGTGAATTTTACATTCATTTGGGTCACATCGAATGGATTGACATTTCATATGAACATATTGTTGAAGTTCATGTTGAAGGACTTCAGTATAACCATTAAAAAAAACACAACTCATTATCAGCTCAGTACTTAAAAGTAAGTGATAATTGAATGTAAGTGATTTCAATTTATTAACTGATGTCTTGCTTCAAAGAAAATGAGAAACTGAGACTGGGAATTTACTTTTACTTCAAAATGAGCATGAAAATATCACTTTTGATATAAGTGGAGTAGGCTGTATTATGACCCTGAAGAGTTCACAGAGTTTAAATTGTCATAATCAGATTCTGAAGGCCTTGGAAATGTTGAATTCTCAATGACAGAAGTTCTTTGTATTGGAGGAACATCAGGTCATGCTTGGCACAAAGGTTGCTTGTGACCAGAGATCTGACATAACAAATTTGCAACTCTGCCATTAATGTGTTTACTGTAAATCACTTTTTATTCACGAGAACTTTATTTCGCGTAATTACGCGAGACTGCCTGCTCGCGAAACTTTCATTCTCACGTATATTTCTATTACTAAAGACAATATAGAACAATATCCAAAGTTCGTGAAAATTATATCTCGCTTATAAATACCAAATGGCCATCTCGCGAAAATAAGGTTTCGTGAAAATTTAATGATCTACAGTATTTACTAAAATATGTGATGATCCCAGCAATTACAACTTATTAATGGTTTATTTCAATTAAATTAATATTAATTGTATCATATATATAAGTATATGATTTTTAAAGTTTTAAAATTCCATATTGATTATTTATATATTAAAAGCAAACTAAATAAATTAAAGTGCTCAATGATTGGAAGTAGGCGAAATCGCTGAGATATGGCCTACCTAACAAATGGTCACACCTTGGTATTTTTGATTTCTCTTTAAAGCTTTTAAGTGATTTAAATGGTGCAAGATTTGAAAAAAGTAAGTTTTTTTGCATGATTGCAGAATTCTCTTTTAAGCTACCGTAAAAGCAGAAATATTGGTCGGGGATTAAATTTCGTTTATTTTGTTGTTAATAAATTATAATTATCAACAAAATTAAATCCCACCCGAAAATTTTATATGACTATAAATTGAATAGAGGTACTTTCAAAACAACAAAATTTAATGCCCATGAAACCTTTTTAAAGGACAAATCTGCGAACTTTTATCCCCACGAAAATATGTGCTTCTACAGGTTATTAAAATATGTTCTTTCTTAAGTTGTCCCACAATGCCCCATTAGGACAGTTCTAGTTTGCAAAATGAATGTTATGCATTTGCTGCTCTGATCTGAATGATCTGAAACAGATACACAGACTGGTATATACTACATGTGACATATATACGTTTAGGTTTGAGGTTTATATGTATATATGTATATGTATATATGTTTAGGTTTGTGTTTTATATATCAGTTGACATTCATCAATATGCTCTTGATTCCGTAAATTATGTGCTACAAGCCCCACCTACTTCTGTCTCTCTCTCTGTCCCACCCAGCACATGATTTCTTTAAACATGCTAATTGATGAATCTGTAGCAGAAATCAAGTATATTTTTACTATTTGTAGTTTTATCTTGGACAAAGTAAGAATGTTGATATTTTTGAATCAATTCTGTTACATTGCATTATGCAGTGTAATGGTTCCTATTTCAAAACCTCCCAGAGTACATATGCTTATAATCGATCACCTTTTGACTTGTCTAGTGAGAGTCTAGTTTTAAGGTTAGTCTTTTAAGAACTCTCTTTAAGGTTTTATCTACTGTGGAAGATTGTCTTAATTCAGTAAAAGTGTCACACATCATTTGTTTTGTGCTTGACTCAGATAATATAAATGGAAAACAAAAATATTGTTTATGACCTATACTGAGTTACAGAACTGCCTGATTTTCCCACGTTTATAACTTTATATACATTTAAATGCTGATTATGCAATATTAAGAAGAGATAAATAAATATTCAAACTTTACCTTAGAAGTAAATTTGTCTTCTTGTGTAGAACAAGTTGATAGTGTCAGGAATTGATTCAATTCAAAATAATGGAACTTTTTTCTCAGGTAGGTGCCAGGTTACTGGGTTTTTTTTCTGTTGGTATAATGAAGAGTCACACGCTGCATTTCATATCTGGAATTTTGCATTGCATTTCCAACATTTTTTTTTCATTTCCGACATTTTTTTTTCGTTTCTAACATTTATATTTTTTTTACATTTCTCGATTTTTTGGAGGATACCTTTCTGACAATTTAATGTCAAATAATATAGGTGGAATTAGAATTTTAACAGGATATACATGTGAATATTACTTTTATTTTAAACCACATTTTCCGAAGAAGAACATTACAATACACTGTATCTATATGCAGCATCAAGTCGAGTTAAAAGTAAACGTGATGAGTGAAAGTTCACAACACTTACATGTGCTCCTTGGTATTAAATCTTCAATTGTTTCTTTAAAAGCTAAGCAAAACTTATTATTTGGATATCAATGATTTATTCTAAATGTACATGTACTATATGATAAATGTTGGAGATGAAAACTTTAAAATGTTGGAAATGAAAACTACAAAATGTCGGAAATAAAAAGTTCAATATTATAAAAGAATCCGGAAATGAAATACGAATTGAAATACAAGATACAGATTTTCAAATCACAGAAGATTTGAAAATTAATCTGGATGGGCATAATGGGGGTGGGGTGGATGTTTAAATATTGAGAAATTTTAACTTCGGCCTGTAGAATCACATGTATGGACTATAATAACATTCAGAAAAAGGGAGGGGGTACATCATAAGACAGTTACAATGGTTAGTATACTATTTGAAGTGACTTCAGTTTCATTTCTCTTTAGTTTCAACAATTTAGACCTAAACATGCCTTTTGTGGAGAGAAAAAACAGGACCATAAAATAAATGACCTCCACTTTGTACAAATTATGGTCTGATAATTCACTATGAGTTATGGCTCTTAGATTTATAAAAATGTATGTGCTGATCATTGACAGCTCCAGTTTCTATAAACAATGATGTGTGGTTTACGTTAACATAGTCTAATCATGATTTTGTGATATGATGAAATAGATTTAAAAATGATAGTCAATCAAATTTAGGAAGGTTTACAAGAGCTATAGAGCTATGACCAAGAGCACTCTTTGTACAGAAATTGTGTTTATTAAAATTAAAAATTTGTAGTTATAATGACTATCTCAAAAACTACTCTGTTTTCAATTTGAAAAAAAAATTAGTTAAGCATATTTTTAAATAAGATTGTTCTATAGATTTTGTGTAAGATTATAGATGACACATTTCATAAGTTCTATGGTCGATACAATGACCTTGTCAGCAAATACAAATTATCATTAGGTCAAAGTCAAATGCTGACTTTTTCATACTAATTGTTAGGCCATTATTTACACACTGAATTGTTGACAGATTTTTTCCATTATAATTACCTGATCATGACAAGGAGCACACAGTGTGTGTGACAGGTCAGCAGGGGTTGCTCACTCCTCCATGGCACCTGATCCCACCTCTGATGTTTTGGAGGTCCGTGTTTGCTCTGATCCAAAATTAGTTAATGGACTTTTGAGCTTGAATACTGTTCGTTATCTCCATACATTTCATTTACATCTTGGTAGAGATGAATATACATGTAGTTTGCTGATGACTGTATTTCATAATTTGCATGGTCATTCTTAAAACATATCAGCCTTTGTATTAAAATTGTTACATGTAAAATATATGATTAAATCTAATATAAAAGTAAAACTGTACTGAGTGTATGCAAAAAAATGTCTTGTTCTTGTTTTGATAAACAATGAGGGCTGCTTCCTCCATATTCTAATTTTGCTTACATTACTTGGGCAGTGTTTTTGTTTCCTATATATTTATTTAACTCTCACAGATTGGATACCTGACTCCCCCAGCCTTCTTCTGACATGCAGAGTCACCTGGTCCTGGACTGGAAAGAAGATAATATCAAGGTAAGTGCTACATATAATCAAATATCATATCATCTGTTGCAATCTGTCTTCAGCCTTATTTTCTGGATCATTCTTAAATCTGAACATTTAAATGAAATGTTGCAATGTTTTGAAAATTTGATTCTCGCAAGATGTTTCATACACTGGGGGTACAATACAAAGTCTCTTAATTAAGTTATCTGCAAAATTCAAAGGCATACAGCACCATACCATCAGATTTAAAGGCATTTGCCCTTTGACATTAAAATACACCTTGAATACACAGATGCATGTATGTTCACATTTAAAATAATAGAATACACAATAAGAATTGTCTTTGAAGTCTAGATGAACATGTTTCATTACATATCAGTAGACAAGAACTGTGTGTCACTGCTCAGAAGACATAAAGTAGGAATTGTTCAGTAATACTGCACTTTTACCTCAATGACAAGCTGACATTGGAAGAGGTGATACCAAGTGTGATCTCTCTGAAAAAAAAGGAAAAAATTTAAAACACTACAAATAATCTGGGGTATCGCTTCCCTTTGCATGATCAGAATAGGGAATAAACATGTTACATGACCTTCTTAGTGGGTTTGAGTTACTGTAATAAAGACACAAAGATTAAGTTTTTCCACACACTGAAAGTGGAAATTACTGGCATAGCAAAGACAGGTTTTTATAAAGCTTACATCATTCCAAGTGAAAACTTTATTAGTCACTATTGTATATAAAATGAAACCAAATTGATGATGGTGGATTAAACATGTGGCTAAAGCCATAAAAGAAACAGATAAATCAGAGAAACTAACAAGGAAATGGCAATTGAACACAGAAGAAGGAAGAGAAGAATCAATGTCTCGTCAATATCACAGTAAGAAGAAATGAAGGAGTGATGAAATTCATCTCCTGTGGGGGAACAGTCTTTGTCAGGTAAGTGATGTAAGGGATGTGGAATTTATCTAAATGATAAAATGTATTTTTATTTGACTGTTTTCAAATTTCTTGGAAAATAATTCAATTTTCATGATTTAAAAAAAAAAAAATGACAGGATACATTACCCATTATATATGAGAATTTGGATGCTTTATTGGAGGTATATTGTACATTAACCTGCCAAATTATAGTGAGAATTCCATGTGTGTCCCAAACTTTCATTCATCATAATTTTTTTTATTTCTAGTTGAAAATAATGAGTTTTAGAATAAAAAAAAAATGAAATGAGATTTTGAAAAAACCTGCACCTTACAAGCCAATCTTAGAACTTTTTCTCTCAATAATTTGAGAAAATTGTATATATTATATATATGAGCTTGTTGCTATTTTTTCTTTGCAAGTCAAACATAATTGATAGATATAAATATAAAAAAAGAATAAGTATGAGAGAATAAGCTAAGTACATAAAACATTAATGGAGATGAAACATACTTAGCAATTCAAAATTGGGTGGTTGAGTCTTACGATGTCTGGTAAAGTAGATTACAATTGTCAGAAAAACATTCTTTTTATGGTCTTTCTCTCTGCTGGCTAGTTGACATTAAATCATAGTTGCAGAATCGTTTATTTGGTGTGATATCATTCCACAGAACAATATAACTGGGATGGATAACAGTCTGGTCACATCAATATTTCATGGAAAATATGATTCATCCAAAGGGCAACAAGTTGTTATCTTCATGTATTGTGACATTTGGCATTTTTAACACTTAAAGAAAAGATACAATATTTGTATATCCATCAGCAGAATTTTTCTTATACTGCTTTTTGTTTGAAATTGTGTGTTGTATTTTGAAATTATGACAAAGTTAGGATATAGACCAGTTAGAGAGGTGCACAGTAGTAAAGGGTAGTGAACAGATGAAACTTTTTAAAAGTTGTTACATGATGCTTACCAGAATTAAACCTCACAAAAGGCATCTTTAATTTTTCCTCTGTGATTTTAATAAAAATTTCTTGAGGAAACAAAATTTTCAAAGGACATTCATCGTCAACAGTATATCTGTTTGATGGGAAGTGTGGCATATTGTCATAATGAAAAACCACATGATGTGAAAAAAGAAAAAAAATTATTATATGATTGAATAACTCCTAGCTCTCTGATTGGCTGAGATTCATCATTGTTGAAATCATACAAAATTGTGTTCACCTGCAAGAGACCTTCCAGGTGAAAATAACATTTATTTTTTCTACATTAGTTTAACTTCCAGATTGATACAATTAGTTATGAAAAGTTATTTCACCTGACCTGTCCTCCCACAGGCATGGATCCAGAATTTTTTTCCACCCCAGTCAAAAAAATTTCCAACCCAGAAATTCAAAAGGGGGGGGGGGTCCGGACCCCCTTCTCGTCTAGATCCGGGCAGGCCCCAGGTGAACAAAATATTTATTTTTTCTACATTGGACCAAAAATAGATTGAGAACTTCTAAATTGATACAATGGTTATGAAAAGTTCAACTGCAGCCAACTTTCAGGTGAAGATATTTATTTTGTTGTTTTTACGTCATGAAAAGTAGATGAAGAAATTCCAAATTAATACAGCTGGTTATGTTTATTCTGTCTTGCCTCTCTCACTGTGTTGGGTTAGGACTTCAACAAAATGTATATAATCAAGAAAGATGGCAAGGCTTGCTTACCGAATTTGTATCTTTTAATCATTGAATCATATAATCAAACTATTATTGCTGTTTTTTTTTCAGTCAATATGATGATTTTATCACCCTCAATATACAATAATACACCTCGTCCTTTTGGGTCAGTAAATATTATATTCCTCATGAGGCTAAATCATTGTATTGACCTCAAAAACAGCAATAATTGTACAATGTATATTGTTGAGGTATTGTTGAGGTAGCATTGAAAATTTTCACCCTCAAAAACCACTGTCAACCTTGGCTTATAACTCCTTTGTTTACAATGGTTTTTTTCCTCAACTAAATGCAATTCTTATAAATATAATATCCATTACTTGGCATACCATGGATGGGGGGATAATTGATTTGTTTCAAGATTTATCAAATATAAAGATAAAGTGTAGTGTAAGTCCTTTTTCTCAATCAGGAAAAATAAAAATTGTCAAATGTGAGTACATCCCATAATTACATAACTGTTAAGTACATATTAAGGTTTAACATATCTTGGCAGTTGAAGACTATGTTCTTACATGACAAATAACAACTCATTCTTTCATAGACATATAATTGGTACTTATAAAGTTTCCTTTAAGCTAAGGGTTGTTAGAGACTTTTCCTTTATGTGAGTGTTACAGCTATAATTTATACTTATACTAAATGAACAAAGGATTTAACCCCACACCTTGGAGTCTATGATTTGGCTTCCTCTGCTGTTTCTAATTGGTAATATTTTTTTTTTAAAATATTGTTTACTTCATAGATGCATTGATTAACAATTTTTGAGCTTTATTACAAAATGTGTGACGTAGATGATTATGATCTCTCGTTGACAACACTTCAGTCATTACTCAGAAATTGAGCATCTTTTTTTTTTTTTTTTTTTTTCATTTTTCTAGGAAGAAAGTATCTGAAATTTTAATGTTGAATTGTGAGGTTGTGAATGAATCATTCATACATGTATGATGTCACCATAAAATCATAATGGGAAGCTCTGTAGTGAATGAAGTCACTGGCTCAATGTACGTGACACAATATAAATCATCCATAACTCTCAAATTTGGTCAAATAAGTACATATTGTGGTTGCTTGTTTATATTTATGAAATTTATGTGTTTTTTGAGGTGCATCACTGTTCATGATGAATCCAGTCAATCTTACCATTCTGCATCCTATTCTTATAAACAGAAATATGGCATGCAAATCTATTTTGATGTACCACTCGTGTCTCAGGCCTTTATCATTATTACATGTATTATAATGATGGAAGTTCTCAATGTACAAACTTTTAGGCCATCAAAGTAAAATGTTTCTATAACAGTTACATGTGATCTTCATGAATAAGATGATTTCCTTCCTTATCTACTGGGTATTACTATTCAACCTGAGAAAACAGCTGTGTCTTCTATAAAAGAATCTTTTCATATCAATGATAGTGTTTCCTGACTAATAATATCTTCCAAAAATATTACACCCAACAAATTCAGATCATGAACGATCATAATTATGAAATCCAAAAAAGATATGTTTTTTTTTAAATTATGTTTGTTTTTGTTTTTAATATATGATACAAGGAAGTACTTGAGTTGGGGAAATTTTACGAACTAATTTTAGGGTTTTAAAAGTGTTACATGCTCATGAGTATATCTATTTAGATGCGTATTTCTATTTACTTACTTCCCCTTTTTCTTTTTTATCTGTCATGTATGTTGTCATATGGTATATCTGTTAGACGTTGGGTGTTAGGATCAAATGTCACAGTAAAAGTAAGTAGTTCTTTATAGATAATGGTGAAGCTAATAAACACAGTTCTTTAATAATTATTTAGAAATGTATTTCCACCCAGATCAGGTGCATCTGAATGATGTATATATGATGTATATATTGTTTACATCATCTTGGAGGGAACACATATTATAAATATCATGGTACAATCAATCAAATGTGAAATTGTCATGACATGTGAGAGCCAATTAGTGCAGGTACAAAGACTTACAAATAGGATTTATTGGGAAGGAAAATTAAAGAAATGCTTAGTATATCATTTTCCCCCCTACATAAATCTTTTGATGTATGATAATTGCCTGTGCATTTATTCTAAAGAGAATTGACTTATCATATTTTTTTCAAAACTGCATTTTATCATCTCATATCTAATTAGTCTATTCATTCGGCATGAAGCCATTATCTCAACATTTTTATAACTGATCTAGAGATATCTTTGAAGTTTTTCCTTAATTGCTTTCATTCACGAGACCAAATATCATTGATGAAAAATCATATTCTTTAGCATCTCTGCGCATCAGCACATCGATCCGAGAAATCTTATATTTGAAAAAGGCTGGAGATCAAGAATGGAAGACCAACTGTTTTGCTTGGGACTCAGTAG